ATCTATTCTTGTAAATTCAACATCAGTGAGACTATTTTGTCTAATAAAATTGTGTATTCCCATTGTAGCAATAACTATCTGAACTTGAGTTGAATATTTAAGTTTTGGCATACGGTTCAGTATCGCAAATCTATTCTTCCATACATCAAATGTTCTTTCTATGGTTCCTCGTAAATTAGAATGAAAATAATTATAAATTTTATTGTGGCAATTAAAGTTGGTAGCTCACCTAAAATTAGGAAGGTGATACCATTCACATTTGTAAGGTCTTACACACCTAAAAGAGGTTGGATATCCAATGAGATATATAAAAACAAATATAACCAATTATAACAAGTTAAATGCAAAGTAAAAATTATTAGTTATAATGCAAACCTATGGGAGGATATGGAAATTTGAGAGAAGCATCATGCGTTTCATAAAAAAATCATAGCATCATGTGTTTTATCTTCTCACCCAGCTAATGCAAACATGAAGTACATATCCCAATCACATATTGCCACAATATTTTGGGATGTATAACCTTTTCTATCGACAAATCTTGCATGTTCACTGGGAGGTACTACACATGGTACATGAGACCCGTCAATTGCTCCAATGCAGTCCTTGAAATAAGACCAATATCTCAAGTCATGTTGAATCTTTGTATGAACATTCTTAAAAGAAAGATCATATGGCTTAATAAATTTCATTGATAGCTTAAAACCTGCGATCAAAACTTTGTGAAAGCATCTACTAACAGTTTCTTCATAGAACTGAAATCTTTCTTGGATCATCTTATTACCTACCTATGTCCAACAATATTTAAAAACATGGCAACCATCTCTAAAACTCCAATATTTTTTGTTACCTTCAACAAAAGGCATGAAAAACATGCTTTTCTATTTGAAACATTTCATGACAGCGAATTTAATGACCATATAATATTTTTTGAACCCAATTATGCCTAGTTAATTTACCAGTTTGACATGATTCTTTGCATAAGCACTTTAAACTATGATCAATAACTAAAATGACTGTTGCTGCCATCAAGAATTCCATATCATCTTCTATGTTATCTTTGGCAACATTCTCATCCAAGTCATCATCATTTTGTGATGAGCTTAGAATAACCATTTTATTAAATTTTTTACAGAAAAATTTAATGCTTTATTTAAATGTTTTTTGTATAAACTTCTAGAGAAGTATTTATAGAAAAAATTAAATTAGATAATGAAAAATATTTTTATAAATTAAAAATAACTATGTATTTAAATTTTAGATAAGTTAAATGAGAGTTTTTTTAAAACTTTTTAAAAAATAAAAAAAGTATAAATTATTATATTTTATGAACAAAATTTTATTTATTTTTATACAAATTTTTTTATAAATAAAAATTTTCTATAAATTTACAGAAAGAGACCTGGTGACATAAAATTTAGTATACTTCTAACTTCTTAGATTAAGAAGTACTAGAGCATTTTGTCATAAATCAGACCATCTACGTACCCCTATCACCAATTTCATTGAGATTTTCATGGAAGCAAAAATCTGTATTAAAATTGGATTTGGTTTCAATTTTAAATACCAAATTGCAAACTCAATAGTCACTGACGGCAATTGCGAATCCATGTCATTTGGCTCTTTCGCTGTAATATTATTATTTGATTCTTTGATGACATTGTTTGTGCCTTCTCCGTTCGTTTTTAGATTTGTAGAAGCCGACCATAGCTTGTCCTCTCTCATCCTTCTGTCTCAGCTGCTTACTTTTTTTTTTTTTTAAATACTTGTGTGCTTGTCTACGCCATAAAGCATAAAACCCCCACACGACACGCGTGTTCTCGTAAAAGTAGCAAAAATATTTTACCAAAAAAATATATATTTATTTATTTATTGACAAAGAAGTTTATATTTTAAATTTTGCATACATTACCCTTAAACACCTTTTACTATTTATCTTAATTTAAACTCATCATTAAATAACAATCTATGCATTTATTGTATTAACAATTGAGCATTATAAATTTGATATTTCATATAATTATACTTTCTATTTTTCTTTCAAACCTCTTAAAAATATATTTTAAGTTAAAAATTAAAGTATTTTGTTATCTATTTTTATTGTTAAAAATTATTTCTCTCATTATTTTTATTCACCCTTTTTAAAAATTAAAGTATTTATTTAGTTACTTATTCTTTATTTGAAAGTGGAAAAGTAAAAATATGGAAAAGAATTGAATAATAAAAGAAGAAGAAGAATAGTTAATAAAAAGATTTCTCGTTAGTAAAATTTTAAAATATAAATTTATAAACAAATTTTAAAGTATTTATAAAACTTTTCCCTTTTATTTAAAAATTCTAAAATAAAAGTTACAATTGAATAAACATTCTCCTTTCTTCCATTTTTTTCTTTCAAAAATTAGCTTCTAAATAAACTCTCAATACACTATAACTTCACTCTGACCAACATATTTGTTCTTAAATTATTTAAAGTCCATAGCACACAATGCAATTTTATGTTTGTATAGATATTTATAATATCATGTCACTAAATTAAAGTTCGTAAATAAATGTTATATTAGCAATACATGGTTAACAACTAATATTTCTATATGATATACTTAAGCAATGTTTTATGGTAACGTAATGAACAAGCTGGCGTTAGTTACAAATCAGCAGCGTGTATAGCTGAAGAAGAAATATGAGTTAGTGAGGAGTTCCCTGACGTAACTCCCATTCTCCACGATCATTTATATATATTATCTCTTTATCACAAGAGAATCAGCTAAATGTTAGAAAAATTACCTCCAATCAAATGTTTTACTTTAAAAAATAATATACTTTTAAACCTCATATCATAGATTCTGATTCAACACTTTGCACGTAAGAACGTAGTAATTCTCACTTCATATATCTTTTCATTTTAAATAACTCAAATCTTTTGAAATTTCAAACACAAATTTTAAAGATAATCAGGATTTTAGAATTTACAGAAATTATTATTTAATTTTTATTATATTTTTCATCTACTATATTAATTAATATTTTTATAAAAAAGGAATAACTAATCCATTAAGGCAAATAAAAAGTAGTTATATGTTATTAAGTCTATTTAAAAATATTCATAATAATAAATGATTAAAATAAAATGATGTATCCTAATTATATGAAGGAATGTATGTACTTAGAATAACGGGAAGATGTTTCGTTGACACAAATTATACAATAAATAAGGATATAAAAAGAATTAACAATTAATATGTAAAAAATAAGTTTATATTTTTTATACTTTAGAGAAAAAACTATTTGTAAGTATTTTAAAAAAAATTAATAACAACATATTCTATTATTTTTAAAATATTTTTTATTATTGGTTAAAATATATTAAAAAATATAAGATTATAAAAGTTTTATTCTTAATTTAATGATTCTTATCTATATCTTTTAAATAAAGTTTAGTCAATAAAACAAAGTGTATTATTAAAAGTGTGTTACAATTGTATTTTTAGGACTCATATTTTTATAAGTAGGATAAAAGGGAATATCAAATATTAAAAATGCATTATAATTTTTGCTAAATTTATAAAATAGTAAAAAAAATAAAAAAAATAAAAAAATAAAAAAAAGAATAAAAAGGATATTATTATAGGACTTGTCTACTTAACACTTCCATTGTTAAGTAATTTTGTAAAAAAAAAAAATATTGAATTCATGGACAATATTAATTTTTTTTTCTAAAAAAAATGAGTTTGATTACAATCATGTTAATTTCTAGCTAAGTTGTCAATAACTTGTCGGTTAATGTTAATGCTTGATATGGTGTTAAATATATGCTTTAAGATTGATGATAAAAAATAATATTCAACGGCTCATATTAAATATTATACTTAAAAAATGTAATCATTCATATTTAAGTGAAGTCTTATAAACTAATGTAAACTTTGAACCAATTTATGAAGGAAATTTTATGAAAACTAAAATAAATTCAACCTCATTGTTTGATTCACACTCTAGAATTTATTTATCAATTATTCAAAGTTAAATATTTTATAAATATAACTAAATTTAAATTATAGTGAATAAATTTTATTTTATTTTTTATATTTTACTCGTCCTCATCCATAGAAGACTTACTGTATATTCTCTTTAATTTTTTTTTATAAGAAATGAATAATTTATTATAACTAATAAAAAATAATACATTATAAAAAATAATTATATAAATTTATAATATATTTTTAAAAAATTCATAATCATAAATAATTAAATTAATAAATTATATATTAATCAATTTAATATATTTATTTATTATATAATGAATAATTATTTCATTAAAATAAATTGTATAATAAATAAAATATAAATATTTTCAAATTTAATGTATACGTTTTTTATATTTAAGAAAAAATACAAATTTATTAACTTTTGAGCTGAATTTAAACGTTTGTAAATGTTATATCTGTATTAAAATTAATTTATTGTGTTTTTGTAGTGTAAATATTTTTAATAAAAATGTTATTTTAAATATTACTTCAAGCTCATTTATAATAAATAATTACTAATATTTTGTTATAATCATAAGAAACAAAAATTTATTTTTAAGTACACTAATAGTTAATTTTTTTTATATATTTACTTATTGCAAAATTTATATTAATGATGTAACAAATACTTTCATTTATTGAATATATAAAATATTAATGAACATTATAAATATTTTTAAAATAAAATATAAATTTATAATATACAATTATTTTTATTAATCTTAATAAACCATTTGTTAACAAATAAGATGTATTTAAACTCAACTTAAGAAATACGGTTAATAAAATTAAAAAATAATTTATTTCTTTCAAAAGTAACGAGAGGTATACTTGTAAGCTGTGAGCGATATAAAGTGAGCTAAACAAATGCGTAAGGCAGGTTCATTGAACCTGGACACAGCTGATTTAAACTCTCTTCGATATTTATACACCATCGTCTTGTCCATGAAGCATTCATTATTCATATCCATACACAAAGCCAACCTTTTACACTGCTATTGCACTGACAAGACGATGATGGGAATCGCACAGGGTGAAACGACGGCGTTGCAGCTGAAGAAGAGGAACAAAGAGCTAGAAGAAGAGCTAAGAAAGAGCAAGGAGAGGGAGGAGCACATGAGGCTCCAGCTCCGCGTCGCACTGGATCGCCTCCGTATAGCAGAGGACGCGGAGGAACGCCTCTGCTCTCAGCTCGGTGACCTCGAAGCCGAGGCGCTTCTGCAGGCGCGTGATTACCACGCTCGTATCGTTTCCCTCATGGATCAACTCTCCCAAGCCCACTCTCCTTCCCCCTCGTGATCAAAATCAATAACCTCTCTCCTTTTCTTCTTCGATACGCATGTCAAAACGCAGGATTTTGGTGCGTTTTGCATTTGTGCTTGTGCAACGCGTGGTTTTTAATTTCAATTGTACGGTTATACGGTGTGAAATGAAAATCGATGTGCTTTAGTTTGCACAGTTCTATTAAGGTCTGATTTGTTCGCGGGTTTAATTTATAATATTGATTTCGTTTGTTGTGTGATCTCAATTCAAAGATCTATTGATTAATTAAAATCATTTTTTGGAGTTTGGGGGTTAAATTTAAAAAGTGTTTTTGAAATAAAATACACCGAAAAACAACTTTCTTCTAAATCTGTGTGATAAACCAAAAGAAATACTATATTGCTTCTCAAATTTAATAGAATATAATTATGATCTATCTCGAAAACTTGAAAGCATTAAAAAAAAATTAAGAGCAGCTGGGTAGGGATTTTAGGTAATGAAGAGTTAAAATAAATACGCAATAAATTGAATTTCTATTCCGCTGTTTTGGGTTTTTAAGTTTTGGTGTCGAGTTAAAATACTGTTTTTTTTTTTCCTTTTATGGTACATAGAAAAAATATTTTAATTTAATAAAACTATCTTATGATCAAAATTTGTCAAACCTGAATCTATGCAAGCTATCCCATGTGAACTGTTGAGAGCATTAGGCTTTCAGTTTTAGTACTTTAGATGAAAAGATTTTTGTTTGGGAATTTCAAAAAGAGAGAAAGAATTTAAAGAAAAAAGTATTAATATAAAATTAAAGAGTTTAAAAAAAAATTAATACAAAATTTTTCATATCAGAAAACTAAAAAAATATGGAATTAAAAGTGTTTATAAATCCTTTTTATTAATTAAAGATTCTTAAATTAAACATTATATGTTTTTTCTCTCTCAAAAACTAACTAAACAAAATCTTAATTATATAGAATATCCCGGTGCAAATTTATTGTCAAACCAAATTGCAATAGTGGGAATTGATTTTAAGGGTGTTTAACACCATTTTTTTGGCGATAACATATATGGTTCGAAGTTAAATACGACCCGTTAATTTGTGTTGTAAAATTTAATTGAGATTAACGTTCGTACAATCTTTTTTCACGAATTCAGGTGGGATTTTCTTGTTGTTAAGTAGAAAACAAACAAAAAATCACAATGAAAAGTATTAAGAGCTTATTTAATGAATATGATAAGATAGTAAAAAATAAGATACGAGAATTAGATAAACATATAATAAGATAAAATTAAAATAAGCTTTTATTTTATATTTGATGCATATATGAATAATAAAATAAATACATTATTTCATTATATACTATTATTATTTTCAACCTAAATTTATAAAAAAAATAAAGTTTATGTTAAAAAAAATTGATAATTCTATAAACTAGAGTTATCATGTTCTATAGTTAAATAAATATTAGAAATATAATAATATAAATTATCATATCTTATTTTTTTAATCATGTCTATTAAATGGACCTTAAAAATATCGAAGATGAAAAGAAAAATTTATCATTTGTACAAAATAATATTACTCTCACATTTATTATCATGATGAGGTTGAATTACATTTTATGTTATTGTTCGATGTCACCTAATTTTTTTAAAAATATTTTGATCATTAATGATATTTTTTTTACTTCAATTATATATTTTATACAATTCATTAAAATATTATATTTTTTTTTCTATAATTTGCTAAAAAATAAGTATATACAATAAGACATCTCTCTCTCTCTCTATATATATATGTATATTTTTTCTTTGAAAATTTTATGACCTGTATAATGCCGAAATTTATATACTTTAATAAATATCAGTTGATTCAATCCTGATCTGGTCATGAATGAGGACATGATGGAATTGATTTCGAGTTCATAAAATTCATATTAAAATCTAAGAGTAAATCCAGGTAAAGTTAACCATCCCACGAAGACTCAACTAGAAATCTAGAATAAAATAATGGGATGAATAGTGTTTTTCTAATATCTACCGAATGAGTGAGGGGTTTCATGTGTCCTCCACGTAAAAGACAAAAAGTTTACTACTTATTTTTTCTTGGAACCAAATATTCAATAGATGCTGCCGTCGAGTCAAGTTTCGAAAACATAGTAAGTTATTAGTACGGTATTGAGGATTATTTTAGCAAGAATCATATTTATATATTTCTATAATTTTTTTATATTTTCTCATTTTTTATTATATTATATCATTTATGAATTTTTTTAATTATTTTTTCTTTCGACCTCTTCACCCCAGAAATAAAATGTAAAATAAAGATCATCGCATCATGAGTGGAGAAGTAATGCGCATGAGCAACGAGAAAATATATTTCTATTTAATTGAAGATTAAATAGATGATGAATCCACAATAAAATTTATGATCGTAGCAAGCACCGAAATTATAAAGTGCGTTTGATGGAATTATTAGCAAAAATTTAACATAAACTTTGCTTAACAAATGAAATATTTGGTTTTTTTTTCAATAAAAAATAGTTGAAAGTTTTGAACGTATAACTGTAAAACTAGTTTAAAGTTTATAATTTGTAGTTAAAAATTCTTAGTTGCATAATTAGTTAGTTGAATTAAAGTTAGTTAGTAAAGTTAATTATACAAGTGGTGTTAAATGACTAAAAGAATATATAATATTTATGTTAATATAATATTAAAGTTAAATATTACTTATTTATTTATTATTAATTAAATAATTAAAATAATGAAGAAAAATGAGAATAAGGAAAAAAAAGAAAAGAAAAAAAAGGAGCGTTATTCCGTACTGGTGGTGTTCTTTGGTGCGATGAGAAAGAGAAAGTAAGGAAAACATTTTTATCAGGATTACAGTTATTGTGGGACGTAAATTGTTAAAAAAATTAAAGATATTATTAATAACTAACTTTTGGAAATCAAATGTTACTTAATATAGTTTTGAACAATTATAAGTTTTTTTTTTGTTATTAAATAATTTTACTTATGGAAAAAATTAATAAACTAAAATCTCTTAAATATATGTTATAAACTTATATTATTGATTTTCTTAATAGCCGACTTAACTCGCTTTGCTTCCTTTTCTCGTTTACTTTTTTTTTTTTTTTCGTTTGGTTCTCTTAATTAATATTATAAAATTAGTAAGTTATTAACTTTAAAATATACATAGGACAAAATATAATCTTGAAAGAGTAAGCATTGAAAAGTCAATATGATAAAAAGCTAACTTCATGACTTAAACTATTTTAAAAACTAAATTGAATCAATTGATTGATTTTACTGAGAATCACTTAAGTCATCAGACTGAAAACTGAAAAATTAGAGTAAAAAATAATTAAAAATTAGTTAAACCGGCTAAATTCATCTAATGAGATTTATTTTTACAGTTTTTTTTTTAATTTCTATATGGTATTTAAAAATAGCATATATCAAAATGTTAAATTTTTAAAAAAATTATGAAAATATGAGATCCAAAAAATCTCATTAACAATTTTTAGTGTAAGTGAGATTTAAAGATAGAAAAGCTAAAAGTTATAAAGTACGATTGACAGTTTTTTAATTCAATGGCGATTTTTTTTTTTCATATTGTCATATTTTTTTTCAAAATTTCGTATTTTAGTATTTAATTTTTTACTCATATAAAAAATGCCTATTTTTACATATCATCTTAAAGATTTATCTTTCTATTAATTTATTTTTAGCCTTCTAGCAAATAGGTGATTTATTAATTTTATTCAGCCATCACAATCCATTTACGTTTAGATTTGTTCTTTGTGATCCTCATAGTAGGCAGTGCATGTATAATAAATTGCTGCTCAATGCTGCAAATAAAAGAGGTAGAAGTACATGAGAAAATTAAACTACAGCCATCAAATAACAAGGAAAAGGATAAAGACCAAGAAACGAGTCAAAGAAGTGCTCCATATATATAGCTTCATCTTATGCCATGAACCGATATACTCAAATATTAATTTTGGGTGTATAAAACTTGAGAGAATAACTTTTAGGATTCTTTTATTCCTTGATACATAGCAAATGACTTATTGTTTTGTTCCAAAGAATTTTATTTTATTTTTTTGCTTCTACAATTGAGTTATCTCGAGAGGATAGGGGGTAAACTGAAATTATGACAAGGTGCTCTCTTGTTAGAACTTTGGAATAGTAGTTTCTGCATTGATTTCTTTCCTTAGGATCCTTCATGTGTTTCACATTCTCTGCTCTTCACTTGTATCTTGCATATGCCCTTTTCAAGAAACACTTGTGGGATTCTCTAATGGCATTGTCTCATATCAGTGGCTGCGTCCTTGCTGCAAACACAGAGAGAGTGGCGACCAAGAGAAAGATTGTCACTGGAAAGGGTAAGAGAATATTAGAAGAAGAATGGACCCACTGAATCTTCTGATAGGGCCATCTAAATGATGATGATGGTGGTGGAGGAGGAAATGCACCATTTGGTCTTTTAATCCTGTTGGTGTTGGGACAAAAAACAATGTCATATTGAAAGGCTTTGCAAATGAAAGTGCTGGTGGCATCATCAAATGCATAGCTATAGGCTTTTGGACAAGCCTGCTTGAAAAGGGTGGAATAGTAGGAAGGTTGGCATGTTGTTGGGTTGGCAAATTCTCCACTGCAGCAGTACTGATCCGATCCAAATGCCTCGCATGCACTCTTACACCCAACTACACCACCTTCGTATCCATCTCCACCAACTACTTGAAGTTCTTTGGGGCAACCTATAAAATTGCATATTTTGAATGTAAAATGTTATCTAGTCATTATCTCTGTAATCTAATGGTTAAAAAAAAAATATTTTTTTTCCACTTATTTTTATCTTTTTCTTATGAAATCAAAGCCTCAATTTTATATTTTTAAATTTTACACACATAATAATAATAATAATAATAATAATAATAATAATAATAATAATAATAATAATAATAATAGTGTTAATATATGAACAAGTGAATAGTACATATAAAAATAAAATTAAAAATAATTTTATAAAATAATAAATTATTTGATAAATTCTACTGTGCTTTATAAATAATAAAACATTTTATACATAAAACAATTATCATGATAATAGACAGTGTTATTAATAGTTTATATAAAAAAACGTAAATATTTTTTAATTTTTAAAATATTAAAAAATTTCAGTCGTTAAATTTAAAAAAGATATACAACATCATCTTAAATTTATATAATATCATATCAAGTACTATTATTTAGGAAGTCAAATTATAAATATTAGTTAGTTTAGCTACTAAAATTATAAAAAAAAATTTTTAGTCTCTAATTATTAAAAATTAATATTTTAATTTTTAAAATTATAATTTTTTAAATTGTTAGAAATTAATTATTTTGAAAGAAAAATAACTTTTAATTCCTAAAAATATATATTTTTAGTCTCTCCCCTTAATCTTTATTAAATTCATCTAATGACATATTTGATTTGGCAGATTAAGGGTTAACTTGATGCATACATGACATAAAACTTAGCACTGGGTAATCCTAACATATTAGCATAAATCTCAAAGAAATTACAAAATTACCTAATTATACAAAGAAAGTGAACGGACTAATGGATAAGAAAGCAATAGTTTTCGTGTAAATAAATTTTTGAATGAAGTTGTATTGAAAGAGAAAACCCAACCCAACAACATATCCTTTCCTATTTCTTTTCTCATAAGATATAACTATCCTATTTAATTACATGGGTAGCCATACATCCCCACTTAACATATCATATCTACCATGTTAGACAAAATTGATAGAAATTGACAAGAGATTTGTTGGCTTTTTATTTTGGTTTTTAATTTAAAAAAATTATATTTTAAAACAATTTTAAAAAACAGTTTTTAAGAAAAAAAATTTGTTTATTAATTTAGTTGTCAAAATAAACAAGTTTATGCAAAACTTATTTCATATTATATTAAAAATAAAAAAAAATATTTTTAAAAATAGTTTTCAAGAATTCATGTTAGCAAATAAGTTTTATTTTTTTACTTTTAACTTAAAAAAAAAGAAAAAGAACACAAACAAGTGCTAAGTGGTTTTTGATAATTTTAGGAACTAATTTTCTTTGTATCATAGTTTTATGGTTTAAATTGGTGAGTGCTTATAATTTCAAGGATTAAAATAATTAATTTATAATAATTTTAAGGGCAACTTTTTTAATAGTTTTAAAGACCAAATTAATGAATGTCTATAATTTGATGGACTAATATAACATATTATTCCAATTTTACGTATAATAATTGAATTACTTTTTATATGATGACTAAATTCATATATTTTAACCATAAGGAATTATTATAGTACCTAATGAAACATGTTACAATTGATGGCTTCATTTTAAAATTAGAACTCTTACCTCTGTTGATATCAGTCACACAACCGGTGGCATTGCAGGCTCCACTACCATATACACCTCGTGGTTGAACAAGAAGTGGCAGATTGTATCCATCTACCATGCTGACATCATAGTAATCTTGTTCATTGCCTTTACCAAGTGTTATCTCAAACAAAGAGGTAGGAGGAGCTGCTCCATTTCCATCACATTCCAGCCTTCCACCACAATCACCTGTTTGGCACTTGCCAATTCCTGTTGCATCAAATGTGCAACCAGTCCTAGCCCATATCCTACCTGACCACCCTGGAACACTAGTAAGTTTGATCATTTGCCCCGAGTCCAGCTGGAATCCGGTCGTCGGAAGTGGAGGCGAGCCGGAGCCGGAGAGTGTGCCAGGCCATATTGTATAAGGGCAGTTGTTGGTTATGGTGAATATTGAAGAGAAAGAATAAGATAAGAAAGTACATAGAATAACAAGGAAACTAGGGAACTTCCAAGATGTCACTATTGGCATGTTCAATGATTCTAGTTGGTGTTATTTTGTGTCCTTGAGGGTGTACTAGAGGGAATTGAATGAGCCAGGAATGACCAATCATCCACATATTTGTACCAAAGAATTTGTGCGCTATGACTTATGAGTTTCTTTGGCATTACAAAACCAACATGCTACGTTGCTTTGGTGAAATTCTCAGCCATAATACCAGTTTTATGGGTTTAGTATTTCTTTTATTTTGGATGGCCTAATTTAGAAGCAATTCTATGCGCTTGCTGTTTTATGGGAAATTGAACAAATAGGGAAATAATCTATGTCACCTCTATGACTAGAGAATCATTAATTTCCTTCAAAGAATCGTGTCAGGAACTATGATTCGACCATGTTAAGGAAATTGCATAGGATGATCCTATAAAGAAGTGATCTATGATTCCTCCATCATCGAAAGTACATTGACTAGGATACGTAAGGAGGAAACTTCTGTATGAAATTATGCATATTTTCAATGGTAGTACACCTAACCATACTTCTTGACCGTTGTACAGTGACTTCAGAACATTCACACGTACCAACTATTGACCTTCCATGCGAGGAAAAGAACAAACTTTTCAACCGTGAAATTATCAACGATTCAAGGAATAGTGTGAAGAGTACGTTAGGAGATTGACTCCACCTACCTCATAAGTCATAACCAATGGCACAAACTTTTGGAGGAAAAGTTTGTTGATTTTCGTTATTACTTTCTTAATTTATATATTTTTAAGAGTAATACTAATAGTGATAATATGACTTAATTATGAAAAAAATTTCAATTCTTAGAACTTGTTTTGTTGTTTAAACTCCGTACTTTGGAGAAAGAATAGAAATTTCTCTGTACAAGTAAACGGGTACCAACTAATTATTTTTCAGAAGACTTGTACTCAAATTAAACTTATCAGTATCTGTTCATATTTAACACAAATATCACTACCAATAAATTTTTGAAACCTGTTCTCGCGATACTGTTTAATGAAATGTTGAAAAAGTAATGGAAATTAAAAATTATTTTTTTATTTACATCGTTCTTTAAATCTGATTCTTTCAATCATATAAAAGATTTTCTGGATATTTATTTTTTTTAATAAAATTCAACAACTTATATTTACTTCAAATTAGTCCCAACTATCGATGTTAATATTTTCCTAAAGGAAACAAAAACTAAACATCCACTATTAAGGATACCTACATGAAAATCAGAATTTAACGAATTTCATTGATTGGATATGGTATATGAGATAAGGATGACCGAAGTTGGAAAACAAAAGCTAAATTAAAAACCTCTATCTTCACAAATATCAAATATAAAATCTTACATCTGCTTATATACCAGGAAAAGAAAAGAAATTAATTGCATCTACTTAGAAGTTAGAATATATCAAAAGAAATATAAAATTTAGCATAAACCATTAACTAGGCAAAATGGAAGAGGATTCACTTTCAAACACAGATTATTACTTTCAATCCTCGAAAACAAAGAGGAAAAATATGCGAGTTTGATAGATTGATGGTGATGATTAATGACGATGTTGAGTATCCTTAGTAAGGTCAACGTTTATTTGCTCCTTGTCACCTTACCATCTACAAGAAATAAATCATAGAATAGAAGTCAATAACAAAAGGTCCGAAATTTCAATGTAAATTAATAATTAACATTAGACATGCCTACTTTCTTACCTTTCTATACCGTGTCTCTATCACATCTCTGTACACTATCATAAATGTTCTTGCCACTATTCTTTTGACATTTTCTAATATTAGGATTACCCACTCAGTCTTTAAACTCTTCATCGCTCCATTACTGTAGGCTTCTCCACCAAACTTTACCAAAGAAAGACTCAAGCAAAAATTGCAATGCCTGCATCCATCAAGAAATTAAGAAATTCATCAATAATTGATGTTATAACAGAGAACAATTCTATATCAAAGAATTCAATATTGCAAGAGAAATGTTTTGAATGCTCCTTCTTAGCATATGCTTCAAAACCTGCACAAGTTACATTAAGCTCAGACAACCAACTGTCAATCAAATCACAGAAAGAAAAGATAACAGAAAATGATTATGATGGATGAAAATGTGAACTAGATCATCTCCATCGAGCCTGTAAAAGAAAAAGGAAGAGTCAAGCTGCAAAACCAAAATTAGTTTTCACCAAATAACATACCAACAACTTTGTTCATATGACGAACAGGAGAGAACCTCAGCCCACAGAAGTCAAGGTTATCATCAATATGAACCTAATACAAACTCATGACAGTAGTAGTAACAATAATGAAAACACTAATACTATAAGAGGCCTGCTTTGTGAATTCTGATTACAGATACACTGGAAACTTGATAGTCGGCTAAAAAAGGGTTATGGTTAATTACATTGCTCATATGTATATCACTGAGGTCCAAATCAAATTTAAGCAATGTAAAGGACAGAATACATTCTGTAGTCAGCCATAACAGACAGCTTCTCAGTAGGTTTAGCAGGAAATTGAAGTCATTCCAGTGTCGTAACCGCACTGTGTACATAACCCTGCTCAAATCCCCATTCAACAGTCAAGCTACTTTAAATGCTACATTACATTAATACTAGAAAAATATAAGGATTTCTTCCTACAGCAGATGGGGACACATCATGTCCACCAATAAATAATCCATAATTGTTCTGAGTTCTATTATCAATACTCATCTGGTAGAAAAAGTAAAGAACTTCAAAGGGACAAGACAAGAGAAATAATAGTCATAAAATAGATGTCTAGTTCACATCCATGCCATCTCCAACTTGGCTGCAGATAGGGCTGACAGCACAGAAAGATCTCTCGAAAGGGGAAGGGTGGAATTGAGCATCTCGTCTACGCTTAAAACCACAGCTATCTGAGGATGAATTCTCTGCATCAAGCTTTCTGCGAACACCTCTCACAGCCTGTTCCTCTGCTGGTGTAAGGGGAAAAATTTGACCACTTGCTAAGCACAGTGAGCTATGGTTATCATACAGAATTCTCTGGTTACAGTTTTTATCACAGATGTGAGTCAGCCCAGTTAGCTTGCAGCGATACATGTTTCCACACACATTTTCATTTTCACATTTCCAGTCGCATTTGTGAACAGAAACTGGACCATCTTGGCCCAAAATACTTGACAGATAAATAACATTTGAAGGAGCTGCAACCATAGATTTACCATATACCTCCATTTCTTCAGTCCAAACAGATACTTCTAAGATTCCAATCTAATACACTCCAACTTCAAGGCCTAGCCTGAATTTTCTGCAGATCCCACCACAACAATACAGAATTCAGTCAAACTCAACAGAAACTGACCTGCTTGGCTCTAAAGAGATGTAAAGACTTTACACCTTTTACAAAACCAACTTTATCTCTTAATCTAATTTCACTTAACCTTCCCTGTAAACAATAAATAAATTTCACACTCTTCTGTAACTACTTATTCCCTTTCAGAAAAAGGTTCTAAGTGCCAACATGTGCGTGTTAAATAAGAAAACCACTCCATAAATTGGATTAGGGCCCAGTTTGGATGAGTTTGTGGATAAATCTTTATAAGAGAAGAAAAATAATATAAAAAATGAATAAACTTATCTCATAAGTCAAAAATAACTTATTCTTCAAGTTTTAGAGAAGTTAAATGAGAGTTTCCAAAAAAAATTGAAAAGCATAAATTGGTTTAAACTTATAGAATGAGTTTGATTCATTTTACTACTTAATTTTGACTCTATAAGTACTTATCAAGAAGTTTATCCAAACTAGGCTCAAATCTTATTCCACTGATGTAACAGCCTATGAAAACAGGTAAACCAAACACAAAAGCTTAACAAGCTTTTGAGAACCATAGCCAAAAATGGAATTTAGCAGTTAGTGAAAGAGAAAATCTAAATGGATTCTCATTAAAATCCCAATTTACAAAGCGTAAATAAATAATAAATAAATAGCATTCTTTTACTGTCTTTCTATTGCAATAAGATATACCACATTTATACTAGAGGCAGACAAATATCCACATGCGGCAGATCTTAACCAATGCCAATTAATATTTTCAAAACAATATACGAGATCACAATAAACACAAGCACTATGAAAATTTAATAAAATCATCCGCAATTAAGCATCATAAAAGCCCTGATAGGAATGGATGTGTGCATGATAGAGTTAGGAAACTATAGGAATGAGCATATGAAAGGAACGGATATGTCCACAATCCACCTATATCATTCTCAAAAGCATACACCCATTCCTATCAAACCCCCATCAACAAATCTCATTCCTATATTCATTCCACCCCATCATTTATACATAAAAATCCTGAATTTTTACACAACCATGCTTACATGGAAAGAAGATGAAACTAGAATGACAAGTGAACAACAGATACCCAGATGAAAAGATGAACTTACACGCTCTTCCACAAAGTCAAGCTGCCAACTCTTCCTTCTCAGTACCTACAAAAATAAGGAAAAAGAAACCCACAAAAGATAACAAAAAAAAATCTAAACTAACTCTCTCTCTCTCTCTCTCTGTGTGGCAAGAACCTAGGCAAAGCTAAATAAAATAAATTGAAAAAAGCAAGGACTGAATCGCAATGGCTTCAGGTATTTATAGAAACCAGACACTGATGGTCACTGTGGACTTGTGGGACACACACCAACGCAGGACAAAATTAACTAACGGAAATGCGTGTTAAATTTCGGGCAAATTGCGACCCAAATGGAAACTTGTTATATTCGGGTCGGGTCATGTAGGTGGCAGCATTGCCTTCAAATTTGGATTAACTATCGGATCCAAGTCCAACGTTCTTTCTCGACCCATCAACTATTTTTAAAAAAAATATTATTTAATTTAAACGGTTCTTTTTTCATATTTTAAATTACTTAAAATTATTTATCATGCCATTTAATTGGGCTTTGTGCACGTGTCCAGTAGCGGGTCTTGCACGTGTTCAGTAGCGGGTCTTGCACGTGTTCAAGTTTTAAATAAACCAATCAGTTTTTCGAATTTTTTAAAACGAACCGGATTAAGAGGAGAGATAAAAAAGGGCATACCGCGAAGACTTTGTTATCCTATTGGAACCTGACACGTGTAAAACGAGCGATGTTTTCGCCTTACACAGTACCTGTAACCACGCCAATGGGCCAGACCTGGTCCACGAAAGAATATTGGGCTTCATGGGCTAAAGCCCATGAACCGACCCGTCTCTCGTAATCGGATCTCATCTGCTAGGGTTTCTTCTGGTTTGTTTTCTGAGAATTTGAATATTCAGTTTCGATTTGATTGAGGGTGAAGAAGGATCATGGTGGGATTTAGAAACAGATACATGGTGATGGAGGTTTTTTTGAACCCTAATAGAGACCGTGTAGGGGATGACTCTGTTATAATTACACAGTTTAATGTCTCAAAAGCTATAAGAGATAGCATATTGGTGAATTTCGGGGAATGTGGTTTGGCTTCTTCACTGGGATCATTCCAGGGTAAGCAATAATGAGTTGATACTAATTTTTCTTGTTTTGTAAATTCTAATGTAACGTCGCTTGTTCGATAATATTCACACTTTTATGTGTGTGCAGTTAAGTATGTGAATCCAATCACGAATGTGTGTATCATTAGGGCTTCAAGAGAGGAGTATCAAAAAGTATGGTCTGCCATTACAATGGTCAGAAATATTGGAAATTGCCCGATCGTGTTTAACCTGCTGGATTTATCTGGTAAGAGAAAATACTGCTTCATTGGTTCTTCTTTCATTGTTATTTTTGGTGAATTCCATTATATAAAATTGGAATAAGAAAAAAGGAGTGATTTAGATTGTATATCTTCAGGGGGAAAAAATGGAAAGTTGAGAGAAATTCTGTGATTTTGCAACATGCTATTATTTCCCATTGTTATTCAGATTGACTAATATTCGTCCAGAGTTCATTTTACTCTTCGTAATCGCCCATCCTGTTATACAAGACACAACTTTCTTCAGAAAACTGTGTTTATTATCATGTCACTCGAGTATATCATTCAATTACGATAGAAGGCCTTCATATGTCATAACTAGTATATTGCCCCCATCTTGTTATGGGTTTATCATTTATGATTATGATGAAATTTATTATCAGAAAACATGATACAAAAACCATCCAGTGAAGGTCAATTCAGCAGGGCACACTCATCATGGCTCCAATAGTCTGTAATAGTAAAAACAAAAGAGATGTACCTCATAGACTACAGAGGAAAAGTAGAGTTTTTGGATTTCTAAGTAATAATGGATTAACAAGTTAGTAACTAATGATGGATAGAGATGATAATTAAGGTTGGATGCATGGGAATTGAATAGAATAACTTGGACTGCATTTTAGTATGAGGCTTCTTCCTATAAAGACGGGAGTGAACCTTTTGGAGAGAATTGTTTCACAGGAATTTGATAATGGCATGGTTGGCATAGCATGAGCTGTTTATAGTTTGGTTACCCATAGCTTTTCTTACTTCCCAGTTAGGAGGGATTTAATTAATCCTTAATGCTGATGCATGACTCCATCATGCTCTATGTTTGTTTGATTTACAGAACAGTATGTTTACAATCATCTGAATGAAACTCCAAAATCTTTTGAATTTTTTAATCTATTTGATTGCATCTAGCCATTGGCCATATTCATGATTTCCCTCTTTTCTTTCGCTTAAAGATCAATTTGGATCCCATCATGTTACTTACTAACCAGACAAAGTCATGTTACCTACTATAATTACTTGTGTCTGTATCTCATAACATGATGTTGTCATGTTAGTAAGTAACCTGAGAAGATCCAAATCCCTTTATGATTTGATGTTGAACATATAAATCCTGATGTGAAATGTTACCTTTTGGTTCAGGAAGTATAAAAGCTTGTAAAAATGCTGCCTTGAAGTGTGAGGAATCAAAATTTGAGCAATACAAACTCATGGTTGGCGATCGATTCTCTGCTGATGATACTCATCGCATGAATAACTATCTTGACAGGATCAAAGTTTTGGAGCACTAAATAGTTTGCCGCTAACGAGTGTCTCATTGAGCTTTCTCAGTTTCTTGCAATTAGTTTGTGTTCAATTTTAATCTCGGTTAAATTTTAATCTCGCTAATCATAGGTTCTTATTTATGCTAGTTCAGTGCACACTCTTTTCACTGAAGATGCAGTCTCCCGTTTAGTTTGTGCTCTGACTTACCATTTTTTCTTGAGTTTACCTGTAATAGTAGCTAGTGCATGGTATAGAGTTACAGCTTCTAACCATGAGAAAAGAGGCTTGTGAAAATGTGTAAATTTGCACCTTTTTTTTTTTTGGTCTCTGACAAATTCATTGTAAATTACTAACTATTTCTAGTTATAGGATAGATTATCAGAGGTAAACTTGTTTTTGTTTTGAGTCTGCATCTAGTTTCTTCCTTTTTTTCACCTCAATTTTATAGATTTATAGGAAGAGTTGCAATCTACGTATTAATAAGTAATGACTCTAATGGATGTTTTGCTTGAAGGAAATTAAAGCAAGTATTGTTATCAAAATTCAATTGTCATATGTAACTTTCTCTTTTCTCACCACCTCCCTGTAGAGAGCTTCAGCATCACTTGGGAAGTGCTTCCCCCTTCTGATAAATTGAACAATTTTCTTTTCCCAGGATTCTAGCTGATAAATAAAGTAGTTAGTCATGTTTCTTTTATATTGAGAATTGTATCGTGTTGGGAAGAGACTACACTGGTGTGGTGCTGTTTTTCACATTGTGGATAGAAAGAAAGGAAAATTATAAATTTCAGGGATAAGTTCACCATGTCAGTACTCGCATTTTGTAAGTTTTAAGGATTTTAGTTTTAATTCACAATCAGACATTATTCATTTTATGGAACACACAATGCCTCGTAGCCCAAATTTATGCTAACCCCAAGACCAAGGTATAATCATGCTGGCCAACCTCTGCCTTGTTTATTCTCAATCTTTTTCAGCATCTAAGGAACAAGTAAAAGGTCACTCTTCAAAAGCACAAAGCTTAGATACAATATCTTTAGTTCTTTTTTAGATTTTTTTCATTAAAATTAAAGTTTTATCTGGATCATTTATACACTTAAAATTAAAACTGACATTAAAGATTGGTATTGATTATTAAGGTAAAAACTAAAGCACTAAAGTTATTGAACTTAGTTTTTGTCATCTTTAAAACTGAGCAATACACCACATTAGTTTTAAATTACAAGCATAAATTAATTTAATTTTAGAAATTATAAAAATATCACTTTATTCTATAAACTTATTAAATGATGATAATTTTTTTTTTCTATTAAATGATGATAATTTTAATCATTGTTATAGTAATTTCTAGAATTGAATGATTGTCATTTGATAATTTTAGGGAAGAAAATTCAGAAAATATTGGAATGCAATTACTAATGATGAAATTTTTTAGGGAAGAAAATACTTTCTCTACAATCAATTCCTATAGCTAATTACCATGATTTTGAGTACAACATGCAATTTAAATAATAAAAATAACTTTTGAATAAATAAAACATTTAGTGTTATTTTAAATTTTTAGAATTTTTCACAAACTCAATGTATTCAGTTCATAGTTTTTAAAGTTAAAATTTTCACATCCACTCTTATAATTTTAATTTATCATAAAAATTAGCTTTTGTATAGACAAATTATTCAATACCAATTTAGATCTTTCTCATGTTTTCTCTATACATTAATTGTATCCACTTCACGTAATTTCTACAAATTTTGTTTAAGCTATATTTTCCTCGCTTAAGTGAAAGTTATAGGAGAAGAATGGTTCACTAAATGAATATTGCTTAAGCGGTCAACAATTTGCTTAAACCACACAAGTTATTATAATATAAATAAAATTTGACTTAAATGAAGATTCTATAACATATTTTTGCTTAAGTCAAATTATTATGACTTAAGCAAAATTGATTTGACTTAAGCTAAAAATAATAGCTTAAGTGAGTATTGACAAAATTTACATGTTCATCACCTATAAAATTAGCTTTAGCAAATATGGTATAACTTGAGCAAAATTTTAGAGAATGATTTTCCTGCATTTTTTAACTTTTAACCACATCTCTTTAGTCATTTTCTCTATTTTAATTTAGCCAACTTGTATGTTTCCAAGAGAATTGAGATGAACGGTGTTTACAAATTTAATTGATTTTATTTACAAATATCACAATTCAAAGTATGATAATACAGATAGACAAAATATGGTTATTTAAATTGTTATATATGAGAAATATTTTTGCATGTTATTTGAGAGGAAAAAATAAGAAGAAATTGAGTAAAGCTTCTACAACATTGTTCAAAGTAGAAATTACTTGATTTCATTTAATATCTTATCTTGAATATCCTTTCTAAAATTTTATCGCTTAAATTTTAATCACAACTATTAAATCTATTAAACTAGTTATTATTAAGAAAATGCTTAAACTAGCTTAGAAACAAAGATACAAGAAAGTGAATATGAGAGAATAGGGTTGAGTTGTATGTTAATGAAAAATAAAATTTACATTTGTAAATATTATAATACTTTTTTTAAAAGGTATTTAATTTTTAAAAAAATACATTTAAATAATTTATTTTAAATATTTAATATTTGAAAATATTTAACCTATAAAATTTATTAAAAATTAAATTATAAATATTATAACTTTTAAAGCATGTTATAATGTGTTATCTTACTAATTTATTTATTAATTATATAATATACCAACTCACATTAATTGTTAATAGTGACTTTATTATCTAAAGTATATGATGATACTCCATGTTATCTAAATAAGTAGTAGTTAAAGAATGCAAGTCCTCTTTTGGACATTGTAATTTACATTTTATATTTATCAATTACTTCAACGGGTAATTTCAATAATTTTTTTAATTTAATAAGTTAATTTATTATCTTTTAAGTTTTTTACTATTTTTTAAAGCTTTTAACTAGTTTATTTCCTAGTTTTGTTGGATATATCCTAAAAGTAGTTACAAATTGAAAGTTGGAACCTCGAAGTTAATAAGCTAGCTAATTAAATTAAAAGTATTTGATAAACTAGCTATTAAACTAACCACCAAATGTAAAGCATAATTACTTGAGATTTAATAAATTTTTTGGTAATTATATATATTTTTAAACAATCATCACATTTTATATTTAAATTTGTTATAAATAATTTATTATTTTAAAAATATTAGGATGATAATTTCTTATTTTCATTTTTTAAACTTTTTATTAAATGAAATAAGATAATATAAAGAGATTTACATTATAATTTATATTCTAAAAAATTAATTTAAAAGTGATAAAAAATTTATATATAAATATTTATAAAAAATTTTAAAAAATGAAAGTGTCAAACATTTATAAAAAATTATTAATAAATTAATTATGTTGAGATAACTTTAAAAAAAAAAAAAAGATAAAACGAAGAAGAAAAGGATAAATTACAAAATAGGTAAACTATCTAGAATTACAAGTTTAGAAACTAGTTTATTAAATACTAAATTAACCTCATAAACATGACATATGAATATACATATGAAATTTTTGAAGAGAAATTAATTTTGAATTTTTTTTTCATAATAAGATTCATTGCTTCTATGTAATTAAATTATAAAATTATCTTACGATAACTTTTCAATGTGGCCAAATGAAGACCTAGGAGATTACTTTCAATTTAACAAAGAGAGCAAACTCATTATTATCAAAAGAAGTAAACTTTGTTAGTCATTCACTACTATAGTTTCAAACCACCACAATTCATATGGTTTATTTTTTAACTACCATTTACATTAATTTTATGGCAATTAAAAGATGGCAGATCTCATGGTATCTCCTGAAAAAAAAAGGTGTGTTTAAAGGCTAATTTATTTAAAATTAACAAAGAACAATTAGTCTTGGATTGATTAGTGAAATCCAAGACATGATACATACTTTATTTCTCTTCATTAAAGAACATATTATTCCTCCAACATTAAAGCCACTAGCGAATAAATAAAAAAATACAATATCTTTGTTGAGCTAAAATAACAATTTCAGTAATAGTAGAGTCATAAAAATTACAATGAGCAAATAACACCCTTAAGTGAAACTTTTTTTTTTTTTAAAGTAAGGTTAATCTTTGAGACAATGGTTAATGTCTTCAAGCTATTGGGAAAACCTAGGATAAGAGGTTGAAGAAGTAAACTCATGATGATGATGCAAAACATTAGTGAATAACGATTTATGATCAATAAAGTCAAATAAAAAATTTAAATTTCTCTAGTACTGACAACTTGCAAACCCAATCAAGATTTGATATTAGGTTGAATCTCAAATTGTTGAACCAAATATAAGTTGTCTTTACAGAATAAGTTTCTTTCATGAAATACATGTGACGATATGTTCCAATTCTAAGTGTCATGAACAAATAACTCACTAATTTAAAAGTTTATATTTGAGATGTGAACTAAATAAACAAAGTTAACAATTAGGTCAAGTTCACCCCAATAAGATTACCATACCAAAAATAATAATAATTAGAATTCAATTGGAACTTAAAATCATATATGAAAATATTACAAACCTCCAAAATGCTTTTCCAAATGGTAGACTCTTTTGAATTTGGTTGAATACTCTATAGTGGATTGTTTTTTATATATTTAGCTTTCATAATTTTAACTTATAATTCAAGTTCATCATGCAAAATATCATATACTAATTTACACATAAGAGATGTATTAACCATTTACATATCATGACTATTTAAGTCACCTTATTTTTCATTAGAGATAATTTTATCTTACCCAACCAAATGAATGTCGTAGTCTAAATTATTATAAGATCAAATAAAATATCTAACTACTTTATTGATGTCATGACCAAGGTAGCTACTAAATTTACATGGGATAAATAGGAATATAAGTTAAAATAAATATTATAAAGTAAAGTTTACTAATTCTATTAAATAATCTTTCTCAGCTGTCACTCTTTTTGGATTTTCTTGAGTAAAGGAAAATTATTCTATTCAATCCATTTTTAGTCAATAAAAAGTTAAGACAAGTTCTTAGACTTGTAACAAATCAAATGATGAAAGTGAGACAATAGAAAATGTCTTACTTTTGGGGAGGAGTCCCTTTTTAATACATTTCTTATCAAAATTGATTTTAAAGCCAGAAACATAACAAAATTTGTACATTATTATGATAACATTTTGGACATAAATGTTTATAGTTTTATAGAAAAAATATATCATCAACAAATAAAATATGAGTGATATTAATATTATTGCTGGATAGATGAATAATAAATTTATGTATCTACAGTCTTTTATTTTTATTTTTTTTAATGTCTGTGTAATGACATACATTAAAATAATAAATTTTTATTAATAAAATATAATATTTAATATTATTAATGTATTAAATTTATAATATTTATTATTTTTAATAAAAATTTAAATTTTATTATATATAAATTTTTATTAAGTGTACTTCAGAAAAAATGTTTTATAATCAAAATGCATTTGAGGTTTTGTTGCAAGTATTTTGCAGGTGTTGCATAAATGCATGAATCATGCATTGCCTTTTTGCTGTTTTCCTTGCTTCACGCAGATTGAGTGCTTTCAAACGTATAAAAGGGAAACTTTTTTTAGTTTGCGTCGATGGCTTCAATTAGAGTCTCTCTTTGGCTACCAACTTTGTTCACGTTTTCGCTCTCCAAGATGACGTTAAACGACAACCGTTTCCGTTTGTTATTAACTATCTAACTGGTCTCTCAAATTCTAAAACAAAAATTTATTATTCAAATATCATCGTTTTATTTCCTATCAGTTAATTCATCTTTGATTTTAAGAACAACAAATTATTTTGATCTTTGAATTTATTACACGATTAATCAATTTGATACTTAATCCTAATGATCAAATTGGCTTATTATTAGTGCTTGTGGTATCTCTAAATTTGAGAATTTATTTTGTACCCTAGTTACATTAACTGTTATGATTTTTTCATTGTCTGAGGATATTAATATTTTTTTCAATTACATCATTAACTTTATTATTTATTAATATAAAATTAATGGTCAGAATTATTCACCTGTAAAAAAAAATATTAAACCATCTTAATTATAAAAAGCACTACCCCATATCTTACCTTATTATTATTTTTTTGTTGAATACTTTATTATTATTATCACATTAGAAACTAGATTAATTTTATTATGTTAAAAACTCATTTGTTTGGTAATATTAATTTTAAATACTAAATTAATTAATAATTTTGAATGTCAGAGAGATTAGATTTATTTATTTATTTTAAATTTTTATAGTCATAGGAATTAATTTAATATATTATTACTATTTTTCAATAATAAAATTAAGAGAAGTTTTTTTAACATGAGTATAATTATTTATAAATGTAAGACTCATATTTTCTTTATAATTATATGTCAGAAGTAATTTTATTTTATAATCGAAATAGAAGTATTTTTAAACTACTAAACTTGGACTAACATTGACGAGTTTGGATTTTACATTATGTCATAGTTTTATATTTGACTAACATTAATATATTACTTCTTCTGATTTAACCTTTGAAGTATTATTCAAACATATAATTTATTTTGAAAGTTATTTTTTAAAATTATTAAATATATATCAAACAAGTTATTTAAAGATTTGTCCTTAGCTCAAGTTATTAATTAACAAGGATCTTCTTAATTAACAAGTACCTTTATTATACAACTTAAAGAAATTAAGAGTGCAAAAATTTTATTAACATTTACATTTAAATGCATTAATAATATTTTTTATTTCTTAGCATTGTTCAATTAATAAAAGACTCTGTTAAATAAGTACTTTGTCGAGAAAGATTCCAAAAATATAATTTATTTCTAATATACTTAACTTAAAAAATGGGCTATATATAACGTAAACATTTCGCAATAAGTTTATGACTTTTTTCTCGTCTAATTTAATTTAATTGATGGATGGGTACACATTATTTATAGTTTAACTCTATTATATTTTATCTTTTCAATATCCTTATTATTCATATCATTATTGGTTGTAAAAGCAAGTTAGTTATGTCTATCAATTGTATGAATGATCACTCCTTTTTGCAAATGAAATTCATTGTATAAAAATTAGAATATACTTCCTACGTAAATAAAACAAAATTAATTCTATTTACTAATTAACCTGCTAGTTTGCACAAATTTAAATTCTAGTTTTAATAATAAGTGAGCAACTTCATTGTGTTAAAGAATGTAGAGAGAATAAAATTAACTTTGAATAAAATTTATCCTCTATAATTTTATTCACCACAGTTTTCTTTCATATATTTATTTACTTTCATTTTAGTTTTTATAATTTTAGTTATTTGAATTTAATTCATTGGGGACCAATATTCAATAAATGAAAATTATAAGAAGTAATCATTCAAGAAAAATAAGTATTAATATACTAATAAGCGCAGACCATAGGGGTTACTTATTCGAGTGAAAATGCAATATGATTGATACTTTAACTATAGGAGCAAAACTAAAATAAAGAAAAATTGGCCAATAATAATAAATGAAACATCTAAATAGGATAAAAATTATGAATTCAAACGTATTTAAGGCAAGACATCGTAATCTTCATGTTTAATAAGATAAATTTTATCCTTTATATCTTATTTATCTAAAAATGACTTGCTTTATCATGCTAAAAGAAATATTGGTGAAAATTTTGAGGAATAAAATTTGGCATTTTATTCAATAGATAAACAATAAATGTAAAAACATGGTCCCAAAATTAATATAGGTTCACTTAGTGTAAACTATAATTTAATGATTCTAATATTGTGTTTGTGTTTGAGAAAATATTAACATATTAAGAGAGAAATTTACTTGTAAATTATAATTTTAATGTATATAGATCTATTAAAAAATAAAAAAAATAAAATGTTGAATATAATTTTATTATTTTTATATGTATTAAATATATAAGATAAGATAAGATAAGGGACTATTACGTTGTTGTTGTGTGTTTTTTCTATCTAGCTTTCATGTTTTATTATGTTTAATAATGAGATAATTACAGAACAATAATATATTATTAAATTTACTTAATAATATAATAAATATATCAATAAATAATAGGTTAAAATTCTTATACTGTGTTCATGTTTGAAAAATAAACTCCTCTTCTTATTGCTAAAAGGGTTTTGAAAGGACCATTATTTAGATGTCATTCTCGGGTATCTCGTGCATACTTTCCTCAGGTTTGCTGTCCTTTTTTCTTGTGTTGTCGGATTATAAATAATATTTATCTTATTCTATTGAAAGTTAATAATTTTTAGCAGTTCAAATAGCAAAACTGTTAAAAAACAATAATACTTTTATTGTAAATGATAATTTTGTTATATAGTACAATTATATTTCAGCATTAAAGTGAAAAAAAAGAAGTTTTGACACTAAAATACTTCACTATTTTTGTTCCTCAAGTCAACTTAATTAGTAGCGAGACATAAAATTTAATTTAATTTTTCTGATTTTCATTCCCTTATCCCGTTATCTTTTCCTACTGATAAAACCTACTACGAACTTCAAGAAAAAAAAGAAATACCCTCCACTATTCAATTAAAAAATCATTAACATTAATGGTATTAATGTGAACATACATAATTATTTATCGATTTGGATCAATCTAAATCCCATCTTGCGGTTAGGTTAGAACAAGAAATACAAAAGTCAGAATCCAAATTCCAAAAGCAACTTCAAGCTGACTCCAATGGAACTGTTCTGACTTGCTAACAAAGCAGTCATTAATTAGTCATTGATCACTTACAATTTAGTTATCAAAGAGAAATGTCTACAAGTATATATCGTCTAAATAACTTTGTTATATTTATTATTATTTTTTAAAAATAAATTTAAAAAATACCCTATACTGAATGCTGATTTTATTTTTCATGACCCTTTTAGGATATCAACTGTGTGGCTTAAAAATGGAGGAGTATTCTCATTTAAAACAATGTCTTCTGTGAGTATATCAATAAATATTATGAAGTATAATTTTAAAATAATAGTTAGCAAAATAGAATAGACTATGGAATTTTAAAAATTAAATGAGGTAACTATCCTTTTTGTTTTTTGGGTGAACACAGTTAACTATCCTTGTTAATTAGCATACAGTGATGAAGAGGAGGGTTGAAATTAATGTGAATGTTGAAGAGAGGACAGTGGGGTGGGCGTGGCCCTTTGAATTGCATCCAAATTCTTTTGCACACGTGGATCCCATCTCTTTCTTCTCGGAAACCACCATTCCCATGTAGCAGACAGCAGCATCATAAACAAAGGTTTCCCATTAGCACAAAAAGTGGAAAACAAAAAATCTATAAAAAGATATAATTAAAGGTAGCATTAATATTTATACACCTGAATTTATTGATTTAAAATATAACCCACCACAGTCCAATGCCATGTGTTTGTTTGGTGTATGCATATAAACCCCCCCACGTTTTGTGCAATGAGATTGATCCATACCAATTTTACTCTTTTCCCATACACACACGGCAACACCCGTGTTGCACTTGCCCTCTCTCTATACCTTCAATCTTCCCTCACATTTCATCTTTCCACATAATAATCAGATAAAAATTGGCCACACAAGGGAAGAGAGAAAGTAGATCAAATTCAATCTCAAATCATAACCCATTTTATGCATATTTCTCTTTCCCTTGTGGGTTTTCCCTTTTGTTTAACACATTGCCATTAAATGGAAAAGAAAGTCCTTGATCTCATATTAGTCCCAAGTGGTCTCCTTGTGACCATAGCATACCATTTCTGGCTCCTCCACAGAATAATCAAACACCCCACCAAAACTGTCATTGGTGTCAATGCAATGAATCGCCGTTTCTGGGTTCAAGCCATGATGGAGGTACATATATTTATGTGGGTGCTAAAAAGTTTGGGTTTTTATTCCTGGGTATTGATCCATTTTAAGTTTTTAACATATGTTTTATATGTGTGCTTGTGTATTATTATTAATATTAACATTGGTTTTTGATGATGTGTTGTGATTGTTAAGGATGCGTCCAAGAATGGTGTTTTGGCAGTGCAATCCTTGAGGAACAACATAATGGCATCGACCCTCTTGGCTTCCACGGCTATAATGCTGAGTTCTCTCATTGCTGTGTTGATGAGCAGTGGCAATGAGAGGAAAACTGTGGTATCTGAGGTTTTTGGGGATAGGAGTGAGTTTGGTTTGTCCATAAAGTTTTTTTCTATATTGGTGTGTTTCTTGTTGGCGTTTTTGTTGAATGTGCAGTCCATAAGGTACTATAGCCATGCAAGTATCCTCATCAACGTACCCTTCAAGAAAGTGACCCCAAATCTTAGGCATCAGATGCTAACATCTGAGTATGTTGCCACCACTGTGAACCGTGGCAGCTATTTCTGGTCCCTTGGATTGCGTGCCTTCTACTTTTCTTTCCCTCTCTTCATGTGGCTCTTTGGACCCATTCCAATGTTCTTTTCTTCACTTGCCCTTGTTTTCATGCTCTACTTCTTGGATGCCACGTTTGAATGTGGATGGGCTGGGGTTGCTGATACTGACAGTATTGAAGTTGAATTGGACAACCACCATATTGATATGGAAATTGGAAGGGCCAATTAGATGTTAAACCAGTATAATTTGTTTGTGGTAGGGACATAGTTAACCTTTGGCTTATTAGCTTGTAGGCTAGCAAAGCATGTGTAAAATTAATTGCACCTTCCATTGTGTTGGATAGTAGAAGGAAGATTCAAGTTCAACTCAAGTTGAATTGAATTGAATGTATACTCGATATGAGAAGTTTTAGATGGTTAAATTAAGCTTATGAAGTTTTTTTTTCTTAGTAATGTTATTAGCTATTGATAGCAGACTCATATAGAGGAAGAAAATCATTTCTTTTTCACTTTGTTCTGTTTCATTAACTTTGATTGATCGACATGTTGCACAAGCACAATACATCATAGGCTTTTATAGGGAATCATTTTACAATAAAATAATGAACAAAAACCAGGAAGCTCTTATTTCATCTTCATGTATAATCTCACTAAATAAAACTCCCAATATGGAAGAAATGCAACAGAGAGGAAACAACAAGTTCAATTAACAAGCGTGTAAATTCACTAGGAAGAACGTCTACAATTTGAATAGAACTTTGATATTTAGCGTGTTTGAAAGTCATCAAATTTATTTAACTGTGGATCCAATCTAAATAGTTTTTAAGTTGAAACATGATTTAACATGAAATGTGAAAAAAAATGCATTAACTTTTGATTAAAAGTAAATTAGGATTAACGAAATGTTTTAATTTAAATTAGGAGTGGGCACAACTATATTTTTTTCACTTAAATTTTTTTTAAAGACAAATTCCAGTACGGCAGTAAAAATAAATAGTTAAATTTCTATTAATTAATTTCGTACAATTATGTAGCTTAGTTTCTGTTGTATTGTGGCTCAATGGTTTTTAGCTTTCAAATGGACAAAGAGCATGTTGTCAATGCCAATTGTTCATTACGTAAAAAAACCCAAAGTCAAAATCAATGACTCAAAACAGAGCATCTCAGCCTTTGTCCTTTAGCTGTGGATGTAAGCTCAGGCTAAAATTGATGCATGTTTTATTTATGTATAAATCCAATTTAATCTTACACAAGCATCGATCACATTTCAAAGGCTCATTATGGAAATGTAAAAAAAAAAATTCGCCAAAGAATTTATGTGATAATAATAATGTTACAGTATTTTTCTGAGATAGCATTGTGTGATACAGTATTTATCTGGTAACGGTGGAGCGATTGTGATGTTTCAAGAGCAGGAATATTTAACCAACACCATGATTTGGATCTTTCCTCTACCGAGTCTTAGACAAAAGAGCTTCTCAGGGCAATACACAAGAACAGAATATTCATATAAGGTAATGTATTGTAAATATTATTGTTCACGCATGACTTAGACAAATTTAATAATTTAATTTAATTTTAGTTTAGTTTTTTTTATTTTTATCTCTTTTTTTAAAGTTTTATTTTAGTTTTTTGTTATATTGATTTTTAATTACCACAATTAATAAATAGGATCATATCAAAGTTAAATAAAAAACATTTTAAAATTTAACTAAAATAAAATTAGAAGATTAAATTGCTAATTATATCCAAAACTTACATAGCAAATATCATCAACTTCTACCACCAAATACATGGATTAACTTAAATTATGATCTTGAGTTCAAGTATTAATAAGTACAATTATGTTAAATATTTGAAAAAAAAATTACCCTTAAAAATAATCCTACTTAACTTGAACAAGATTATACTTCTAATGGAAGATATTTATGGTTTAAAAAAATATATCGTCAATCCCTTTTATCAGTATTTTCTTCATCCAAATTAATATCACTCTTCATTTGTGAAGAAAATTTAAGTAAACTAACATTTACCATTTATAATATTATGAATAAAATTGTCTTAGCTTCTCTTTTTACATGCTTACACTCTAATATAAATAATATATATATGTATATATATCGGAAAATCTTTGCAGCATCAATTTCACATGCTCTTCATTAATATTGAATGAATACTAAACTGTTACTTTATATAGTGGGGAGTTGCTACGTGCTACTGTAGCAGATAAAGAGGTATCATTTGGAATAATCAACAAATGTTTGCTAATTAATTTAAGGTATATGTACTTGAAAAAGAAAGCATGAGTATCATTACAACCTACTATGTTTTCTTGCGTTCATACCATAAAAGTATGTATAGATTTCTACTCGATAGAATATTTCTCCTTCTTTTCTTTTTCCTTTTTTTGGTTATGTTTTTCTTTTCTAGTTTATTTGGTTTACTGACGACATAAAAATAAAATAAAACTAAAACTATGCTCTGTAGCCTTCAATAAATTACTGAAATTTATCACAGTTGGGCACTGCTAACAGCGTGAAAATTTAGTGCCTGTTTGATTTATAGTAAAAAGAATTATTGATTTTCACATTTTTTTGAATAAAAATATGAATTCTAAGAAAAGAAAATTAATTTTAACACAATTCAAAATTAATTCTACCAAATTTAATCTTACTCATATAGAACAGATGAACCCTTACTTGAATGTGCACGTTAACAAGCAGAAAGCCACAAAGTACAACGATTAGTACAAACGTAATACTTCAAAGCATATTCCATTAGTGGTGTGAGATGTGTAAAGTGGGAATACCTCGTTCTGTGTGAGTTTGTTTGAGAAGCAAAGTCAAAACATAATGCAAAGTCAAAAGTAAATGCTTCATTTAATTACGATCTTACCTTTCTTGCAGACTCGTTGGTTTTGCACGTAAAGCTAATGGAAAATGACTTCTTTTCAAACTAAAAAAAAAAAAAACCAAAAGTGTCTTGAACCTTGTAGAATGGAAAAAAAAAACAGATTATAAATTTATAATGCTACCCAAGTGAAAAAATAGCCGCAAATTTCGAAGATTTCAACCGAAAAATTAATTCCTTTCAACTAGTATATTAGTTTAATCTCTCTTTCTCACTTGTTGACTTCCTTTCAACTACCTATTAGTGCTTCACGATCCATGTTCCACCAACTTGGTGGAAGGTTTGCATTCAACATTTTTGTGTTGTTAATTTGATCACCATTATTTTATAATAAAGTCAAGTAGGTAATTGATCTCCAACGTGGCCCTTTTTTTATTTAAAAACATATTTTTACACCTCAAATTCAGTAAGGTCGCATGCCTAGTTACAGCAGCCACAAAAACACTCCTTTTCCTTATATTACCAATAAAAAAATAGTAACTAAAGTATTTGATGAGGGTAGCAACACAATTAGAGTCACTACAAACTGTAAGTAAACAAATTTTATACATCAACCTGTGTGATGTCTTTAACATACTCAAACAGTCTTTTTACATCATGCCATGCTCCCTTTTCATTAATTGATATGTTTTTTGGGTTGGTGGTGATCGAAGAAGTTTTCTTAATTAAAGGAACCCAAGCACATAATAGGAATCCGTTGGTGTCTTCTTGAAGAGGGTGAAGGGATATTCCATGTCAAAAAGCCTAAAATAGACAATACAAACAAATTAGCTCAGTTAAGTAACTATATGACAAAGTGGACCAAAAATAAAGGGCACCTAACAAATTCTTAAGGGTTCATGTCTCAATAAAGTGAAAGGAAACAAAGGGTAAAATACCTAAACCTTTTTTTGCTTAGTTACTATGTTTCTGAATACCTGTCATTGTTCTTTCCACTAAGCAAGCGCCATCAACTGCCCATGATTTTCTTTAACCGAATAGCTTGTTTACCTATTCTTTTTGCAGCTTCAATCCATTCTGACAAGGAGACATGACGACCAAAAAAAGAGTAGTTTTTCTTAATTTCAAGTTGCTAACAGTTTAAGTTTCTTAAATTGCTTTTCAGTTTTTCATATGCATCATAGAGAAAAGTGTACCTTGCACAATTAGCATAAAAACTATTTGTATTACTTATGGCATTGTAAAACTGTAGTTCTTGGCACATCCGGCTAAATGAAGAAACTGAAGTTTCTGAAAGTCCCACCTTTGTTTTATCTCACATCAAGTCATAAGATAGCAGTTTGAATGCACATTTTCCATTTTCAAGGCAACAAGTTAAAAAAATATATTTTGAACTAAAATTCAAGTGGGTAAGGGATGTAATTTAACACCATTCATGTGTCTTCACCAATCAACTTAATCTTTTAGGAGTTGATTCATGACATGATATCAAAATCTCTATGACTAAATGGTCTATTGTTTGAACCTTACTGCTTTATTCTTCTAATTAAAGTAGTTAGATTTTATAAGAAGATTGGTGGGCTTTTACAGTATCCATGCTCTAATCAGGGCTCTTACGTGAAAGAGCATGTTAGAGAAGCACTATAAAACTATTCATGTCTCTTCACTTAATGACATGAGCTTTTGGGATTGTTGATTCATTACTAGGGATGGAGGAAGGAACATATATAATTAGGGGCAAAATACAATGCACTGAATTCTAAAATAATAAAAAATATAAAAAAAAATCAACATTTTAATTGTTGAAACTTGATGCTCCAGTGTCTGAAAATATTGATTTTAAGGTGGTGCAGGGTTGTTACTATATTATGCAGTTAGAAAAAAGGCACAACATATGATCATGAGCACAAATAAAACACTTACTTATTTTTTACCATAGCCATGATTTCCCAACTTTTATGATCTTTGAATGTCAGTTACTTTAAGTTTCAACTTCATGTTTCCAGCTTGAACTACAATTTCTCCTCTGGATGAATCCACTTTTAAAACAGTCACCTTTTTCCCAAGGGAAGAGACATGTACCATATCACCAACCTTGGGAAGCTCAGACTTATCTGCAACATCAACAGGTGAATGACAACTGCATCAATATTCATATGATAGCAAATTCCTTATTACAAGACTAGATAACACAGCTCTAGTGTTTGCTGTGAGCAGGATAAAATAAACTCAAGCTTTACCCTTAATTCAGATGCAAGGAATTAAACATGGAAGTATATTAACACATCAAAGTTTAGTTTCCTTTTATTTCCCTCATGTTCCGTTATCTTAACATATACCTGATGAGGATTGGTTAAAAACTTTTACAGCAGATGCACTTCTATCTGCAATAGTAGGTTCCTTGTTATATGCAGCAGTTTGGCTTTTGTTGGTTGCCGATGGATGAGAAATCTTAATGGTTTTATTATTCTGTGAAGGTTGCTTAGCTGATGCATCCAATTCCCTCACTTTCTTGTGAATGATGGATCTTGCCATTGCTGCAGCTTCAGATACATCTCTCATCTTCTTAAATCTTAAATTAGTACCATGTTCCATGATCTTCCTTCTGGTGTTCAACAGACTATTGTAAAGTCCTCTGGAGTGCCTACAATTAGAAAATAAATAAATAAACGTCCCAATTAAAAATGTATGGATGCTCCGAAGGTATGGTGGATTTTGTTAATAATTATCTGTAATAATTAATTATTACCAGCCAAGAAAAAGGAGAACTGCAATACGCAATGCCATGAGACAGCTAATAAAATTGTAGAAATTTTCCACTACTAGTATTACTAGTCATATAATACAAGTGATGGAAAGATGACATATTAACATTTCTTTCCCCCACCCTCCTCATTCTTGCAATTTACCCTATTACAAGAATCTGAATCAGTTTATTTGGATTATGTTCTCATAAAAAAATGTATTCATGGAATGGATAATCTATGAGTACTACACAGTATAGACTCTTGTATTTAGGGTAGTTATTAAAAATGGAGCAAATCAGCCAGTGCCTGGTTCAACCAGCTGGACCAAGAACTGGTGAAGTCAATGGCCAGGACAACTCAAAACATCAGTGGAGAGAAAACAGATAAAAACCAGGCAAGAAATGGTAGAGAATTTAAACCTGTTTGAACCGGTCTTTTATTATTATTATTTTTTGTTAATCTTTAATTTTTTTTATTCTAAAATACTTTTAAAATAAATAAAGGCTCACATATGGTATATTCATATAGAATTACAGATTCCTACTATTTAACTATCCATTATGAATTTTTTATCTTGTAGGATAGGTGATGTGATTATTCTGTATTAATTTAAAATTTCACCAGACTTAATTTTTATATTTTATATTAGTTTATTACTTAATATATTTTATTATTACTGCCTACTGGTTTAACCTTGATTCAACCCTAGTTGAACCAATGAACTGTGAACTAAGTGCCTTTGCTGATTGAATAGCTGATCTAGTTTTAAGAATATTGGTATTTAGTACCAATCATTACTTTGTCACTAAGTTCACGGTTCATTCCATGCTCTGATAAATGAATCCTCCCTAATTAAACAAGCTATCCATTGCATAGAAGAGACTAAAGCTAAGAAAAATTCACAAGGTGGTAAGTCAAAATGAAACACTTCAATTATTAAAACAAGGATGGAAACCTAGCAACGGGTACTATTGAGCATTTCTGATAATAACTACAGAAAAAAATATTAACTATCGAGAATAAAACAAGATGCAAATGTGATTGATTGAATGATCCATTTTCTATTGAATGAATTAGCAACTGAATGAGCCAACTCCATTATCTGTTAGATATATAAATAAGTGCCTATATTTTCATCAGGACATGCCATCTCCTTGAATCATCCGTGAAATGCAAATATATGGGGGATGGGATAAAGCATGCAATGAATTTAATCTTTTTTTCTGAAAAAAGCAGAGTCTCTCACATTAGATAATGACGTGCTTCATCCAATAGCTCTTGGTAATCTTGTTTTAACTTTTCCATATCAGTTATTACCTACATGAAAAATAAACTACATTGAAAGGCAACTGAAATATTTCTAACACATTGAAAAGAATTAGATTTGATTATTTGGAGGCACGTAGAGAGGGGATGGAGCCAGAGCTTGGTATACTTCTGACTTATCTGATCCGCTTAAAAGACTACCATAATGTGCTACTGGTCAATTTATTTATTTAAAATATCAACTCCAGAATCAAGTTCAAGGCATAAAATCAGTGGCTACTCATTACTTAAAGTTTACAACAATAGCATAAATAGAAATTAAGTTTTGAGTACGTCATACACCACATCTAACGTATAATAAACACAATTAAGATCTATTAAAGTACAAATACCTCATCTATCTCTGCACTAGCAGAACCATATAACTTACGAGCAGTATCTACAACAACAGATGGTAGTCCCAACCTCTCAGCTATATTAATTGCATGTGAGCGCCCTACAATGACAAACTCTCTTGAGTTATATGCATTAAGAAGTATTACATCTGGCTATCACTAAAAATGATCCATGAAATCTGCAATTTTTGACTAATAACACATAATGTAATGTAATACATTTCATCTTGCAGGATACACCACAAACATAGCTAAAAATATCAAACAGAACCAGTTAAACCAGAAACCAGTCTGTCAACCAGTTTGGTCCAGCCTCTCAAACTTTTAGTTTTAAAATTGACCATTTAATTGTGGAACAAGATTCAAACGATCCTGAATGGTACAAAGTGATCATCATTTAATTGATGACCAACTCATGCTTTAGTTTAAAAACCATAAGCTAAACTGCCAAAATAGGTGCCAACTGTCATTAACTGCATGAACCAGAACCACTCATGGTTTAACGGATGACAAGTTCAAGTTTATTTACCAAAAACACTAAATTTTAATTTTCTTAGCAAATTCTTTATAAAATTAAATCCTAAAGTGTATTTAACCTAACTTGATCTTTAATGAACTCATGTTGATTTATTGCTTACTGTATTATATTATTAAAAAATATAAATCTAATTGGCACCAGTTTTGAAGCTGAGTCTGGGCATTTCAATAAGATTCAGCATTGTGAGTTGTGACCTGGATTCCATGGGTTCAAATCTTGAAAACAACTTATTTGCTTGCAGGGACAGACCACACATCCACCCTCCCCAGACCCCACTAGCTAGGAGCCTGGTGCATGGGGTCACCTTTTTTAATTATCATCAGTTTGATTGAATCATGGACTATGCCTCCACCAGAACAATGACCAATTCATTTTTTAAAACATTGCCACAGAATCCTTCGCTTCATTCATATCCCAACTTAGATGGTAAAACAACTAGATAATCGTAATTTCTACACATTCAAAATAAATTTATAAATTTGTGTGTAAAAAAATACAAATTGATAATATTGTCACAACCCAAGTATTATGACTAGATTTTGTATTAAAAAAAGATTGCAATGAAAAAAAGTTGTCAGAAAAACAAATGGTATGTGAAAATTATATGCTTAGCCCTTGAAACCTTAAAATGGATGTGCTTTCTAGGTTTAGCCATTCATACTCAACCATATTTTTGGATTGAAATTCCAAGATTTATCACTGGCTTTTAGATGCTTCAGATGAGCATTACACAAAGGAAGGGGACAAATCAAATGACAAAACAGGGCATTTAAAAGCAAGTGAAAAACAGATCAACAAACTTGTAACAATTATTATTATTCATAAGTTAAACAGTGCTTGCCTGGTACACCCCAGAGAACCTTGTAAGTTGGCTTCAAATTCACTTCATCAAACTCCATACATGCATTTTCAAAGGCCTCATTACTGATCATGAAATAAAATTCAGAAATGTGAAAGTGAAATCTGAGGCAATAGTTTTTATAATAGAATGCACCAAAAAGGGATCATATATTTTTAATTCTTTAAAAGACAAAATACACAGAAAACAAGCATCAGAACAATATATTTATGAGTTTATGATCCATTGCTACTGTAAAAAGTTCTAAATTATCAGTGAACTATAATGGTGCCACCTGTTTAAAAACAATTATCAGCGACCTTAGTTATTTTAATGATGTGGAATTGCTTATTTATTGATAGTGTAAAAGTTGCACAACAATGGATCAAATTTAATATTATTATTATTATGGAGGATGTGTTATAAAAGATAAAGAATTAGCCTCTATTTATACAAATGAAAGACTCGTGATCCTAATTAAACAATGAAACAAACCATGAAATATAAAGAAATATAGAAATTGGACTTGTAAGTTAGGTTCAACCTGGAGGCTCATGTCCAATGGCTTAAATGGGGAAGTGTTCACAGCTAATGTTGAATGTTATATGCCAAGAGTTATGCCCCTAAAACAGCATAAATGACATTATCTCATGGTTAGAATAGGTTTTTAGCAACTCACTCTGGTCGCACCCACTCCAATTGTGATTTTCCACAAAATTGCTCTCTATCATTGCCACATCGGTCACTACTTCAAACAACAATGCTATTCAATGTCTGTAGCGTGCTCCAGCCACATAGCAACATGATTTCACAAAAAAGTGCTGCTATTGACAACTATTGCTAAAATTTACTGTTTTAAACTTGTAACAAAGGAACCTCTTAAGAAAGAAAAATAACCAAATAATATATTATAGGTTCCACAATATGGAACTCAGCAATGTTGGGAGAAATCAGAAAATGAGCATTGCTAGAAAGACTACTTAGCAATTAGCAAGATGCTTGGAATGATCATCATCCTAGAGAGCTGGTGGACTTGTTGCATTACCAAGGAAGAAAAGACCTTTCCTGAATGATCATCAATTTCTTAGCAAGGTATACTGATATGTACCAGAGTGACAATATGGAGAATAGAGAGAATTAAAGAAGGAAATACAATACACTTTGTATTTGTTTTACTTGCGAAAAAGAAAAATTACAGAGAGAGAAACTTCCTCTGTCCAAAGCTTAGCTCCTATAGAAAAATCACAAGGAATCCCCTATCCTAACATAAATTATCTAGCCAAAAATGAGCCCCCAAATACTCTCATCATTCTAAATAACAAAGAATTACTCTACTTTCTCTAACCACTTTCCCACTACTTAGACAACCACCTTCCCACTACTTAGGCCACGTCCCTCTTCTTCTTGCGGAGATAAACTTTCCAAGCCTTAGGATTAGTTTCCACTTCATAGACTAGAGGCTCCTTATGCCCAATTCCCTTATGGACTCCATCAATACCTCCCTCTTCAATAACAGTCTTGTCCTCAAGATTGAGGTCAGAAAATTGGCTTCTAACAATCACTTCATCTTCCCACGTTGCTACATCTGCTGTCCTGTCAGACCAATGTATTAGCCATTGATTCACCCTTTCACCATGCTTCATGATGCTTTGAGTTGCTAACACCGACAATGGTTCCATTAGTTCAGCACCATCATCTTCTAAATCAGCAGGTAATTCAGCTTGCACTTGATAATCATCAATTGCCTTCTTGAGGAGAGACACATGGAACACAAGATGTATTTTTGAAGATGGAGGAAGTTTCAATTGATAAATTCACCAAGAGAAACATTTGGAAGCCCACTAGTGAACTTAAGAGACCTAAAATATTTGAAGTAAAATCTAGGATAAAGACAAGGCCAAATGGCATTTGGGATAAACATGGCTAGACCGAGCATGGGATAAGGATAGACATGTTAGACCACAATTGAGACTGAAGTCGAGGAAAGATTGTGTTTGCGACAAAAGTAGGTGGGGCCAAATATGTAATGAGAAGGACGCAAATAATCATGGAGGTAAAGTAGAGCTCTGGATTTTAAAGAACTCGCAATGGAATAGTGATGAGAGAAGTCTTGGAGGATGGTATCATTTCAATACCAAGTTGGATTTTAAAGAACTCGCAATGGAATAGTGATGAGAGAAGTCTTGGAGGATGGTATCATTTCAATACCAAGTTGAAAATACAAGTTTAAGTGTTAAGAGAGAAAAAGAAATAATAAAGATTTATGTTGATATCTTCATGAAGGTTGAGTTACAAAAGACAGAACTAACTTCAACTTATACTAATAGAAAACTTCTAATCCTAAATTAATAATGAAAGAGATTAAAGAAAATATATGGAAACTATTCCTAAAAGAAGTAAATAAATATAACTCAATGTAGGGAGATGCTATGATACCATTAAATTAGGCATACCTTGTGCAATACAAGTTATCCAACATTTATTCACAAAATATATTTGAAATTTTGTTAAATACAGCCAGCAATCAATAACTATTTGACAACTCACCTTATGTATCTATACCCTTAAAAAAAAACGATACATGCCAATTTGAATAAACTTCTAGAGAAGTTCTTGACAACTCACCTTATGTATCTATACCCTAAAAAAAAAAACGATACATGCCAATTTGAATAAACTTCTAGAGAAGTTCTTGTAAGAAAAAAAATCAGCATAAAAAAGGAATAAAACTTCGCTTATAAGTTATGAATAACTTATCTCTTTAAATTTTAGAAAAGTTAAATTGAAAGAACTTTTCAAAAAATAGAAAAACATAAGTTGTTTTTAACTTATGAGAGAAGTTTTATTCGTGTTTTATATTAAAGTTTGCTCTTATAAGGACTTTTATGGAAGTTTACCCAAATTAAGCCTTCAAACAAATTTGTTTTTGATAATTTTCATTCTATGTCTTTTCTTTCGTTAATCAGTTTTTATATTACAAGAGGACGTAGATGTAGTGTCATGTTGAGCATGCGAAAAATTATTTTTTTTAAACTATCTTCATCATCTGTATTGACTACCTGTATTTTAGGGTTTTCAGTTCTCCGTGATGAGTTGTAGCTATAGTTAACAAACAACCATCTTGAGCAAAAGATTCCAATAATGCCATTCCTAGTGCTGCTCCTTCAAGGGGATTTGTTCCGGCACCAACCTAACAATTCCAAACATAGTACTATCCATTATACACTTGTATGACATTACATATTTGAACTCTTAATTAAGCTCATAAAATACGTGCCTCATCTAGTAGCACTAGTGACCAGCTTGTTGACTGTAATTTAATATTCTGCAAGATAAAATTAAAAAGTGAAATGAGAATTTCTTACATAGTTTAAAATAGTAAAAGAAAATTTTGTCACTTTTAACCATTAGCTGAAAAAATTAACATTTAAAATGATGATTAAACCAGACTGAAATGTTTATAAGTTGCTCAATTTCTTTCATCAGAGTTCTATTATGCATTGAGTTATAAGATTTACAAATGCAACAAATGAACAAGCAAAATTGAATAACCGAAAAAATGAACACGACTTCAGTATTTATGTTCTACACACAATCAAAACACTATTCCTTACACTTATCTGTTTCAAGTGGCCAGAGAATGTAGACAACGATTGTGATAAGGACTGCTCATCACCAATGTCAGCAAAGACAGAATCAAACCAAGGAACTTGTGCAGATTCAGAAGCAAGAACATAAAGACCTGCAACATGACAAGTTCAGATCATAAAAATTTGATTATTTAAACTGAATAAGCAGAAAAATTATTTGAAGGAAATATATGGCTTCACAAATCAATCGTACATAGCTTATCCATGAACAACAAGAAATGAAGATTCTATCATTAGGAATAGGTTAGGATGTAATAAGATATTAGAACTCATGCTTGATGTGAAGCAGGCTGCTCATAATATCTTTAGAATTTTGACAATCCAGCAAATATGTAAGAGTAAAATTATGTATATAATGTTTACACAGATCCACTGAAACCCACAAAGGATCAAAACATCTTTAAACTAGTAACTATTGTGGAATATTTATACAACCATTCTGTCGTCTAATCTTTTAACTAAACTTTATGGTAACAGTTATAGTATAACTATTCAATCCTCTGCAACCTATCCATCTCTTCCACCTCACATCATATCATGATGAGAAAATATTTTTGTTAGTTCAACAAAATGAGATCTCTTTTTTCAAAACTCATTAAAATGAGTTTCTAGGTTAATTTCCTTCTCTTTATCCCTTGTTTTCTAGCAATTGTAAACTTGTATGGCTTGGATTATGAAGTTGGCCTTCCAAGTGAAAGTACCACCCACAGCATTGATGGAACTCAACATTGATTGATGTCTAATAACAGATTAAAAATAACCACTATTTCAGCAAAACAGAGAATCAAAGTCAATTTAGACCACAATCTACAACTTACATGACTGTTGAGCCCATGATGATATGCATGTAAATTTAAATTTATTTATCATCCTTGTTTCTTTTTCTCTACTCTAGTTTATTGATTAATTGCATTCTTTAGCAGTTTAGCGTCTCTGAACATCATAATTTCCAAGGCATGTGCAGTTCTCTCTGATGGATTGAAAGGGAGAGAGTAGGTTCTCAGCTCAAAAAGTGTTTCTATTCTGCTTTCCTATTTTTCCATGTACACTTTCTCTTTGTAAAGAGAGAGCTCTGATACCAAAATGATAAATTTCTGGGTTAACAGAGAGCTCAATAACGAGTTTGGATTAAATTGAAAATTACATTTCACACTTGAGAGCTTCGAGCATTAGCTAAAATTAGATCATATAATTTTTTCCCTCAAGCTTGTTGTTCAGGTTCAGGAAGGGTACAACAGGAAAAGATATGCAATTCATGTACCAAACCCATTGTTTAAATATCAAGACTCAAGAGGCTCACCATAATAAAAAAAAAAAATTATGCTAAATGAATTCATACTTGACAGAATTCAATTATAGTTCTATTCATGTGCATGCAATAATGCCAGAGGGACAGGAGAGAGGAAATATTGAACAAACCTGATTTTGCCATCGTAGCAGCCAACCCTACAGTCTTCAAACATATGGTTTTGCCGCCAGTATTAGGGCCAGTTATAACTATAACAGAAGTTTTTTGAGATACCAAAAAATCAACTGGTACTGGCTGGGCATTGTCTGATACAGCAACCTGACTACCAGAAGTACTTTATCATAAGTGATCACCAAATGCATTATAAGCAGTGTACACAAGAAAAACCTTAAATTTTCAAGCAACAAAAGATATATTCTTCTAGTGATCACTAGAAGAACCCTAACCCAACTTCCTAATCCCACAGGTTATGTTTCTCCTTTTGATGATATATTCTTCTAGGGTTTTCTATATATTTTCCCAGGAAAAGAAAAAGGGAGGGAAAGGGAAGTAATTGGTCATTTTAAGCAACAATCAAAATGGTCGTTTTCTATGAGATCTTTTGATTGAGGATACCACAATATTACTGAACTGACAATAAACTCAGCAGCCTTTTTATCAAAGATTCCCAACCCAGGAATGACAACCACTCCCCTGTCCATCCCCATATAAAGGGGAAAATAGTGAGGAAAATTAATAGTAAAAAAAGTAGTTTGTGTCATCTGTGACTTAACTGAAGTAGCAAGATTGACATTTTTTTTGGCCTTCTTCAAATGCTCCCTGTGCCTCTGGAGCAATAAAGGATGATAAGCTTTCGGCAGATACAGCTTCCATTCCTTATTGTTGGGTAATTGGCCATAGGATTTATCATTCCTTGTTAAGAATTCCACAGTAGAAGAGTTATTCCTATCTGGCAGAAATATATGAGGACTTGACCCTCCAAATGAAAGACCATAAGTAGCACGGGCATTAATCTGCAAAATAGGAACCATGTTACTGACTATCTTTCACACAGTAAGGATGCCTTATAGCCTATTGTGTTGTCAAATATAAACTGTTAAATGAAGTCACCTACCAAAGCAAGTTCTTTAATTTGTGGGGGCACTAAATCCCAAGTTTACCCCAATACTATAGTTTATATGGTTGCAAGATATCATTTTAAGGGTAATTATGCATATGTCAACTCCATTTTACCCCTTTGATGCTAGATTAAATAGGGCCAAACATAAAAATTTGGTTCAAATTCTATATTTATATTTACCTGCCAAATTTTGTAATATGCTTACTAATTGAATTTAATTATGCTTATCGACTTACCTTACTCATTCAAAGAATTCAGTAACTAGGGACATGAAAACAGACTTTTGCCATTGACTAATATCACCGTGACTTATGAAGTTAGAATGTTTTAATCAACCAATGATACATATTTCAACTTTACAGAGCTACAGCTAGTTATCTCAATTGACTAAAGTACAACTATTAATAAAAAAAATATTGGGAATAAGATTTTATTCAGGAAACGGAAAAAAAAAAAGAAGCAAAACTGCACAAGTACAGCCAACGGCAGTAGCTACAGAAAAGAGGCTACTCATCTATGTTAGGCAAGGAGTTCGCTGGACCATTATTATTTTCCTAAAAATCTGCTGCTATATTTATTTCTTATTATAAATTAGGAATAGTACTCAGCCTATTAATTGTATATATTTAGGATTCCTAATTTAGGTTGTACAAATCAGGAATTAGGATCAATTGTCATTAAATAGTTGTAAATGCTATGTATTATTTATGGAGATGAATGGAGAGAAGGAAAAGGCAGAAAAGCCAAACTTTTGACATGGTATCACGAGTCTCCTTGACAGCGACATGAGCTTTTCCAGTTTTGTGTTCGCACTTGATTCTTGGTTCCTGGGTTTGCTTTGCTCACGATTCGTGGTTCTTGCACTTTGCTTCTTGGGTCTGTTTTCGCGTGCGCTCCTGGTTCGTTCTTGTAACCCTCTCGTTTGAGGTTTGTGTTTCTGTTCCTGGTTCTTGTCTCCTTTTATTTTTGGGCACGGCTTCTTGGCTTTTTTTTTTTCTCTCTCTGTTTTCATGACTACGGAGAATCTTTGTGTTCGGTTTAACGGCAAAAACTATGCCGCTTGGGAGTTTCAGTTCAAGATGTTTGTGAAAGGAAAAGGAATGTGGGGACATGTCGATGGGTCCTCCTCTAAACCCACGGCCATGGCTGAGTTGGCTGCTTGGGAGACGAAGGATGCCCAGGTTATTTCTTGGCTTTTGGGGTCCATTGAGCCTCTAATGGTCAATAACTTGCGTTCATTTTCTACTGCCAAAGACATGTGGGACTATCTCAAACGCATTTTCCATCAGGACCATTCTGCCAAACGTTTTCAGTTGGAATTAGACATATCCAATTACACTCAGGCAAATTTCTCTATTCAGGAATATTATTCTGGTTTCCTGAACTTGTGGACTGAACACTCTGCTATACTACATGCCGCTGTTCCGGAAAATTCTTTGGCTGCAGTACAAGAGGTTTATGAGGTCACTAAACGGGACCAATTCCTCATGAAGCTTAGACCAGAATTTGAAGCTGTACGTGCTGCTCTCTTAAATCGAAACCCACTCCCCTCTTTGGATGTATGTGTTAGCAAACTACTTAGAGAAGAACAGCGTCTTCTCACTCAAGCAGCTCTGTCCTGTGACTCTTCTGTTTCGGAAGCTATTCCTGTTGCCTATACTGCCCAAGATAAAGGCAAAGGTCGTGATACACGACAAGTTCAATGCTATTCGTGCAAACAGTTTGGTCATATTGCTCGTCATTGCACCAAGAAGTTTTGCAACTATTGTAAGCAACGTGGCCATATCATCACGGACTGTCCCACTAGACCACCACGGCGCCAATTTCAAGCTTTTCATGCGGCTAGTTCCATGACTGAGACACCCAATTCTGTCCCAACCCATGCTGATGCGTTAACTCCAGAGAAGGTCCAGCAAATGGTGCTTTCAGCATTATCTGCCTTAGGCAGCCAAGGTAAGTCTAATGATATATCTTCAACATGGTTTGTTGATTCTGGAGCCTCCAATCATATGGCTGGTACCTCCGAACATTTAAACAATGTTCGCACTTATAATGGCACTCAAAACATTTAGATTGCTGATGATAATACTCTTTCAATCACCGCTATTGGTGATATTACTCCTTCCTTTCATAATGTCTTTGTGTCTCCTGGACTTGTTTCTAATTTAATCTCAGTTGGACAATTGGTGGATGACAATTGCAATATTAATTTCTCTCGGGCTGGTTGTGTTGTGCAGGATCAGGTGTCGGGAAAAGTGATCGCGAAGGGACCTAAAGTGGGCAGATTATTTCCACTCCAGTTTACTTTACCTAGATTTTTGTCCTTCCATTGTACTGGTGTCCCAAATAAGTATGAGGATTGGCACAAAAAGTTGGGTCACCCAAATTCAGTTGTTTTGTCTCATCTACTGAAAAATGATTTCTTAAGCAATAAAATTATCATTCCTGGTTCTTCCTTTAACTGTTCTGTATGCAAACTTGCTAAAAGCAAAACCCTCCCATTTCCCTCTAATGTCATCGTGCTGACAAACGTTTCGACATTATTCACAGTGATGTTTGGGATATATCGCTTGTCTTATCACATGCTAAGTACAAGTATTTTGTGACATTTATTGATGATTATAGCCGCTTTACTTGGATTTATTTTCTCCGTTCTAAAGATGAAGTTTTCTCAATGTTCAAGATGTTTTTGGCCTACATTGAGAATCAATTCCACACCAGCATTAAGATTTTGCGCACTGATTCTGGTGGCGAATATATTTCTGCTGCGTTTCAGGAGTACTTGCACCAAAAAGGCATTATTTCCCAACGTTCATGCCCATATACACCTTAACAAAATGGCGCTGCAGAACGAAAGAATAGACACTTGCTTGATGTCACACGAGCATTACTTCTTCAAGCTTCGGTACCTTCTCATTTCTGGGTTGAGGCATTGACCACTGCTGTCTACTTGATCAATCGCCTTCCCTCCCAGGTTCTTGATCTCGATTCTCCTTTCTTTCGTCTTTATACCATACAGCCGAGTTATGATGATCTTCACCCTTTTGGCTGTGTATGTTTTGTCCACCTCCACCTTCGGAACGTCACAAACTTGGGGCCCAGTCTGTCCAATGTGCTTTTATGGGTTATGGTACCACTCAAAAGGGTTTTTTGTGTTATGATGCTGTTGCCCAGCGTTTACGTATCTCTCGGAATGTGATTTTCTTTGATCATCAAGATTTCTTTCCATTTGTTTCTCCTGATGCTAATAGTTTTGCTACTCTTCCTACCTTTCCTAGGGTCTCTCATGCTACAGAACGGTTTAAACCAGGCTATGTATATACTAGACACCAGCCTGCCCCGCCCCTTCTCGACTCTGAACCGTCACCTGACCATACGCCAATAGTGCCTCGTCGATCTAGTCGTACTTCTCGTCTACCGGATAGGTATGGTTACTCCCCTACTTCTCTTACTGCCACTTTATCTACCATTCCTATTCCTACATGCTATTCACAGACTATTAAGGATGTGTGTTGGGCCAAAGCTATGCAAGAGGAGTTGTAGGCACTTCAGGAGAATCATACTTGGGAAATTGTTACATGCCCCCCTAGTGTCAAACCCATTGGCTGTAAATGGGTGTATTCTGTGAAACTTAATTCTGATGGTTCTTTTAATCGTTACAAGGCTCGATTGGTTGCCTTGGGTAACAAACAAGAATATGGAGTGGATTATGATGAGACATTTGCACCTATGGCTAAAATGACTATTGTTCGCACTGTTCTATCTATTGCTGCCTCCAAAGGCTGGTCTCTCTATCAAATGGATGTGAAGAATGCCTTTCTACATGGTGACCTAGCTGAAGATATTTATATGAACCCTCCACAAGGTTTGTTTTCTTCTTCTCTCGGTGTATGCAAACTCAAACGTTCTTTATATGGTCTGAGGCAAGCCCCACAGGCATGGTTTGAAAAGTTTCGGACTACTCTCCTTGGATTTTCTTTTACTCAAAGTCGATATGATTCTTCTTTATTTATTCAAACCACCACAGCCGGTAATGTTCTTCTTCTTCTTCTTTATGTTGATGATATGGTCATTATTGGTTCTGATCATGCGTCAATACAGCACCTCAAACAGCAACTTCAAGCTTCTTTTCATATGAAGGATCTAGGCAATCTTCACTATTTTTTGGGTCTTGAGGTTCATTCTTATCCCAAAGGTCTCTTTCTTTATCAACACAAGTATACTGATGATTTGATCTCTTTGGCTGGTCTCCAATCTGCTACTCCTGTGGATACTCCTCTCGAAGTTAATATCAAATTTCTTCGTGATGAGGGTGACATTCTACCTAATCCTTTGTTGTATCGTCAGTTAGTGGGCAGTCTTAATTATTTGACTATTACACGTCCTGACATCTCCTTTGCAGTCCAGCAGGTTAGCCAATTTATGCACACTTCTCGCCACCTTCACCTAGCTGCTGTCCGACGTATCATTCGTTACTTGAAAGGTACTTCTCAGCGGGGGTTGTTCTTTCCCACTGGGACGTCTCTTAATTTGGTGGGTTATAGTGATGCTGATTGGGCAGGCTGCCCAAATACTCGAAGATCTGTCACAGGTTGGTGCCTGTTTCTTGGTTCTGCGCTTATTTCTTGGAAGAGCAAAGAGCAAGCCCGGGTCTCTAAGTCTTCCACCGAGTCTGAATATCGTGCTATGTCTCTAACCTGCTCTGAAATTATTTGGCTTCGTGGTCTTTTAGCTGAGCTTGGCTTCCCTCAAAACGATGCTACACCTCTCTATGCTGACAATACTAGCGCCATTCAGATTGCTGCCAATCCAGTCTTCCATGGACGCACCAAACATATTGAAGTGGATTGTCATTCCATTCGTGAGGCTCTTGATACTCATATTGTCTCTCTTCCCCACATTACCTCGCAACTTCAGCTTGCGGATATTCTTACTAAGGCTGTTCCTCGTCCTCGACATCAGTTTCTTGTTAACAAATTGATGCTCCTTGACCACTCGTATCAATTTGAGGGGGGATGTTAGGCAAGGAGTCCGCTGGACCATTATTATTTTCCTAAAAATCTGCTGCTATATTTATTTCTTATTATAAATTAGGAATAGTACTCAGCCTATTAATTGTATATATTTAGGATTCCTAATTTAGGTTGTACAAATCAGGAATTAGGATCAATTGTCATTAAATAGTTGTAAATGCTATGTATTATTTATGGAGATGAATGGAGAGAAGGAAAAGGCAGAAAAGCCAAACTTTTGACAATCTAAACTCTCAAGGAGGAGGTGGCCTTCATTAAAAGGATAACCAGTAAGAAAACTCCTTGAAAGCCAACAAAGCAAATCTCACCCATGAAAAAGTAATTACAGAGGAAAGAATACAGAGACAGGAAAAAAGAAAATGGTGATCCATTTCTCTCCAAAAAAAATTACAGGATATTTACCACATCCAGTTGAATCAAACTGTTCAATATCCTTTCAATATCATCAAGGTCCAGCTGCATCTGCACACAAAATATGACATTGTTATAGAAAAAAAGAACATGGCCAGAAGAATCTTGATCAGATCATGTTTGTAACCTTTTTGGTTAATGTCAAAAGCACATCTGCCTCAGCCTTTGCCACCAAACTTCTTGCTTGCTGCAACTCATCATTTAAAGGAACAGCAGAAAGTGGCTCTATAGTACTTCCAACTCCGGCTTCACTGCCAACAAAAACTATCTTTAAGGAATGGAATTTTACGCCCATCTACTAGCTTGACTGACAAACATTATTTCATGAACAATGTATAATCAAAGCTATATTGACAAATGTTATGCACCTGGACAATAATAGACCCTTAAAACTTGTCTTCTGCCCAGAATCTACTCTTATGCACCACCTGCCATCAACGTTATTCACTTCCTGTTCAAATTATCACAAAATCAAGAAAAAGAAACATGCAGGAGGAAAAGAAAAACATCTACAGTATAGTGAATCTTACAAGGATTGATGTTTCACTCTTTTCATTCCTGACTATGCTCTCCATTAACTGTTGTACCTGAATATAAGAACCAAATAATCTTAAATAAAGGAATGTATAAAATGAACTATTTCAAATTAAAATAACAATTTATATAGGATAAAGTAAACAGACGTGAATCCAAATCTCAAGATTGAGATTCTCATAACAGATGTGAATGTTAAGAGGATAGCCAAGGATACATTGGTTTTTTCGTTTAATTTCTTTGTCAAACTTTTAAATGAAATTTACTAGATTGGTAGCTGTAAAATAAACTAAAAACTCTATGAACTTCATATATCTGTGATGAGATCACTATTTCCAGAACCAACATTATGAAATATAGTAAAATAAACAGGAGTTACCTTTCTCTCAATCACTTGCACCTGTTGGCGTGACTGTTTAAGGGCTGGACTCTATAACAAGGATGCAAGTTTATATTATACATGTGTTTGCTAAAAAGAGAACAAGAAGCAACTGATAGTCAGCTGAGTGGCAGCAAGAAAGAGGAGATGCATCTGTGAAGTATTCTTTTCCATCGAATGCTATATACTGAAGAATGTTAAGAAAATTGAAGATACAACACATGGCATCTCAAACCAAAGAAAATGCGTAGCTAATGACTGCTTGGCAATGTGCTGAGTTAAAATAAAAAGAAACTTGTACGAGAAATGAAACAAACCGCAGAGTCCTTAACAGAGCCATCTTCATCGACAATTTGCTCTATCACTTTAATCAAAGATCTATTGACAACAAATTCCATTATCTGCATGCACATATAAGTGGATCAAAAACGGCAGAAACATAGTAATAATAGTTACACAATATGACATATATTCAAAATTTTATTTCACCATTTACCACTTCTGTAAGAGGCATGAAACGACTATGCCAATCTTTGTCTTCCTTAATAGCAGCTTTGAGATCACCCTGCAAGGTGTCAGCACACTGCAGAAGAGCCACAACAGCCCATGCCTCAGAGCCACTCACCGGCATACTTCTCCGTGCATGTTGAATTGCAGTTTTGACCTACAAGAACCTTGAATTAACAACTTGGCAAGAAAGAAAACAGATATAAGAAAAAATGACGTTCAATTGGCTGATATAATAAAAGAACCCATTTCTATACTCATCTTACTAACCAGCATAGCATCAAGGTGACCCAAGTGCAATCTGAAAGTGCCGTGCTTGTGCATTTCAACAGCAGCATTGGTTTCCTTGAGAAGTGCAAGACTTTCCTCAAAAGTCTGATTCAGAGACCATAGCTGGTCCTGTCTCATGAACACCCCATGACATAATATGGAATAAGACCATGTTTACATATCTAAAATTGAGTAACATGGAATTGGTGATGGAATGGAATAGAACAGAGTTATAATTCTATTATTTGGACAATTTTTATAGTAAAAATGAAAAAGGACCTGATTTCAGGCCTGTTTGTTTTACATGAAGAATAATTCCCTACACTGTACACGTTCCAAAGTAAAATACATGAACGAGGTTAATTTAGACACGTTCCAATTACATTTAACAGTTCAAAATCAATTTTATTATAATTAATTCTACTCAAATTTAAACCAAACGTACTCTTCATCTTAAACTGCAACTAAATGGAGAAAAAAAATAAGGGTATTAAACGGATCAAAATGAAATACATGAATCGTGTTTTTATTTTATTTTAAACAATCCAATCAAACATAATATCATTTCATTTTATTTTTTAATAAATTTCAATGAACCCAAACATAGCAGAAAAGCCCAGAAAGATGAACCTTGAGGGCTTGACGACCCAAGGAAGTGGTGGCGAAGGAAGCGACCAAGTCACAAAGCTTGTCCCATTCAAGCACTCTGAGGCTGTCATGGTGAATGGAAGCTGACACCGTTTGCGTATGTTTCTGCTTCCATTTATTAATGGTGATGATGGGGAAAGCAGATATGGTTATGGCACAAGATAACATTTTTACGTTATGGGTCTTTCTAACAACAACTGGGTTCTAAGAATTTGCACAGATTTATTGTTGATGTGAGGAAGAGAAACAGAGGAAGCATCACCACAACAGTTGGAGCTTGTTGGATTACAATTTACAACAAAGTTATACTTGGAAATCAAATGTGTAAATAACACTAAAATAATAACAAAAATAATTTGAAGATAGAATGTGAGTTTTTTACCGTAAAATTAAAAAAATAAAATAAAATTACTGAAATAGACTATATTATAATTTTATTATAAAAATAAATCTCATTTTTTTTATCCAAAATTTGATTTTTTAGAAATCAAAATCTGAGTTAGTTTTTTTAAATATATATAATAAAATAAATATTATTATTTAAATTATATTTATATATTTTTATTTTGTTAAAATAAATATTTATAATATATTATTTTAATAAATATTTATAAATATTTTATTAGTTATATGTAATAAAATAAGTTTTATTATTTGAATTATATTTTTATTTTTATATTATTTAAAAATAAATAAAAATAGTAATAATATTAATTTTAAATATTTATTAAAATTTATTTAACTTATTTAAGATAATAAATAATATTTTTAGAAAACAATAATAACTAAATTTTTAAAAAAATAATTAAATAATAAGTAAATTATTTTAATTAATTTTTAAAAACTATTTAAAATATTTAAATAATAAGTATATTATTTTAGATAATAATATTAATGTTTAAAATATTTAAAATGTTAATTTTTAAGTATATTATTTTGCTACAAACTTTCGTAACTCTACACATTTCTCTATACAACATAATTAAATAGGTAGAACTCTAATTATATCATTTTATTTTTTTAAGATTAGTTAATAAAGTTAAATAAATAAAATATACTTTGTTATCTAAAATAATATATTTATTATTTAAGTATTTTTTTAAAAGTTTAGTTATTATTGTTTTCTAAAAATATTATTTATTATCTTAAATATTTCAAATAAATTTTAATAAATATTTAAAATTAATATTATTACTATTTTTATTTATTTTTGAATAATATAAAAATAAAAACATAATTCAAATAATAAAACTCATTTTATTATATATAACTAATAAAATATTTATAAATATTTATTAGAATAATATATTATAAATATTTATTTTAAAAAAATAAAAATATATAAATATAACTTAAATAATAATATTTATTTTATTATATATATATATATATATATATAAAACTAACTCAAAATTCAATTCTCTGGATAGCAAAAAAATAAGTATATTTCTATAATAAAATTGCGATAAGTTTATTTCAGTAGTTTATTTATTTTTTTTGTAATTTTACGATAAAAAAAACTCACAAAATGTTAGAAAATTTTGAGAAAAAAAAATAAAGGAAAAGAAAAATGTTAACTTCTTGATTTTGTCACTGGGTCAAGAAAAAATTGTGAAGAAAAATTTATACGAGATTTTAGGGCGAAGAAATATAATTATTAAAATAAGTTTTATTAATATAATTTATTAAATAAAATTATTTTAAATTTTGTTTAGTTAATTATGACATTTTTTTTATCAAATGAATACTTAAATAATTGAGGTATCTAGATATATTTTAAATAATTTATTTGAATAATAAATAATTAAAAAATTTATTAAAAAATTGATAAAAAAAGTATTCCAATTTAATACGTAATCTCGAGTTTGAAAAATACTTGCGTTATACGTTCAGCCGTCAGTTTTATAGCATTAGCATGTTTGATTTTGCTTTAAAATAAATATAAATGTAATTTATTTTAATTTCGTTAATTATAAATTTGTGTTAAATTTATACTGATAGATTTTCTAAAATGTTTTTAAATATACAGCTACATTTAAAATTTGGAGAGTAAAAACAAAAGGAAATTGTATCAAAACGAAAAAGAAATAAATTAGGAGAAGCAAATAAAATCGTAAAATCTGAAGTTCGTATTTACTTGACCCTATGGGTGGAAGTAACACATGCATAACAGGCATAATATTTCTATTATGATTCACATCTAACTTTATATATTCGTGCATTAAAAGAAAGAATATAATAATTAGATTTAAATTAATTTTTTTTTTAGATCAAAAACAATTGTTAAATTAGATGAAATAATTATTGAATAATAAATAACTATTTATTAACAGCAATATAATATTAATAAAATTATGAAGACAAATAAAAATAATTGACGACTGATACATGTTATTATATAATATTAAGTTCGACCTTCACATATATATATATACACACAGTAAAGATATGTTGTAACCCAATTTCATTCTCCATCCGTTCTACACTCCGCGCCATGTTAGATAAGTGGCTAATTCTTAATAGTCAGAATGTGTTTAGTGCTTGTTACCTTTTTTTTTTAGACGACATTATATACTTTTTTAAATTAATGATTATGATTAAAAAATATTTATATATTTTAAATATATTATCAATTTTTTTATTTATTAATTTATAAAGTACTGTAAAAATTACTAATGTGTTTTGCAGATCAACTGGCTGTGATGTCCAGCACATTTCGGTGATTCGGTGCCGTTTTTTTTTACTCCCTAAACAAATAAATAATATTTTAATAAGTGAATAGTAACTTCATTTGGCTATAAATAGCCGTGAGGAATGAAATTGAGGGGCGCATCGCAAGAGTGTTTATCAAGTATTGATAGAATTCTAGTGAGAGAAAAATAGAGTGTTGAGTAAATCCTAAGAGTGTGAGAAAAATACTGGGGTGGGTATCATCTCTATTTCTTCTTGTTATTACAAAATTTGTAATATTTGAATAGGAAGTGGGTCTCACTGGGTACACTAAATTTTACATCTCTTGTGTGATAGAGTGTTGAAAGGATATTGTAAATATCCCAAGATATAGTGGAATATTTTTCAGAGTTTGTCCCGTGGTTTTTCTTCCACATTGGAGGTTTTCCATGTTAAATATTGGTGTTCTTTATCTGCTTATTTTATTCAGTTAGAATAATTCTTAGTATGCTCTGTGGTTGCAGTTTAGTCTGATCTTCCACATCAGAAAAGAATTATTTCTGTTATCTTTCCGTGGCTGATTGTTGGATTGCTGGATAAGTGTGTTTTTTGTATTAGTGTTGTAACTGGAAAGGTTCTGCCTAAGGAAAGATTTGGTATTTAAGTGATCTATTGTGATTCACCTCTCTTTCCTGGGAAGTATTCCAGTGCACACTTTACAAGTTACACCGCTGCGCTGCTATATCTATTTATTAGATCTGAATTATTGCTCGCCAGTTTACGTCAGAATTTTAATTTACACATCCAAATTTTTTCTGCATTTGAGCACAACACTGGCAACGAGCAACACCCAAAATGATTGTAACGAAAAAAAAGAAGGAAATAGAAGCAAGCAAAATTGCAGAATCTGAAAGTCTATTTTTGGTAGATCCTATTGATGAAAGAAAGGTATGCTTGTTTTTATAAAATTTGAATCTTCCAGAAAAAAGATAACAAAGATTACAGTTTTCATACATAGGAGCAATAATAGGTAGGGACACACATGCCTTAATATAAAAATGGATGAAGTTTGGATGGGATATTAGAATATCAATACACTCATATTTATGGTAAAAACTACTACTTAGATTCATGCCTTGCATGGGCAATAACTTCAGTATCTGCACCTACGTTTAATGGGTACCTTATGTCAATTTAGTCTAGAACCATCAATATTTATATACCATACTGAGTATTTAATTAATTTGGGTATTATAGTCTATCCCAAAAAGGCTTTTTCCATTGGTCCAGTCAAAAATCAATATCAGCACCATTAATATAAATTGGTAAAATACTAAATAATAGTCTGAAAAGTTAATATGAGAGCAGTGGATTCTCCCTTTGATGTTTTGTGGGGTCACTGGAGAGCTTTTTTCAGTGAGTTATGCTCACAGGATGGGAACAAGGTCATTGTCCAAGCAGAGTTATGGACTATATCCTTCATGGAATTCGATTAGCCCTTAATTGAGGTTACAATGCATTGCTTAAGAATCGGATTCCTTGTGTTGGTTGCACTCAGTTACTTCCTTGTCATGCAGACGTGTTTAGAGAAGGGAATCGGGTTGCTGATGATTTGTAAGGCCAAGACATGCCTTATTTTTCCATGATTTTTTATAATCCTCTGCCTTTTGCTTCTTTCCCTTTCACTTTTTATTTATCTTCTACCCACTTGTACAGGCAATATGAAGGGTAGTGTGTCTGAGCATTTAGCCCTTCCTTTCCAAAATAATAATAATAAAAGAGATATAAAGAGAAGAAGAAGAAAAAAAAAAAAACAAACCAACGATCAGATCAAACTATAAAGCCAAAAACTTATCTACATACAACCAAAAAAATCCAATGAAAAACTGTTTGTAACAAATGATACCAATTTTGAAAGATAAAACCTGAATTTCAAAACATTACTAACATGGATTTGTCAAAAGAAAAGAAAAAGATACTCTCAAGGATAAAAACAAACCGACACTATAGATTAGAAATTTAGAACCAATTACCATTTCAAGGTATGACTCAAATATTAATTTCACATACACTCATGCACAAAAAAAGAAAGCAAAAAATATATTTACTCATTCACATACAGAATATAAGATTATGAAAGAGACCGAAGTTAACGGATGTTAAATTTTTGGACACTTATTTTATTACAATTTTTACGCTTAACCCTATATTTTCTATCTCTTTCTAAATTTTTTTATCCTCTATTTTATTTTCAATTTCTTGTACTTGTGTGTATGTAGGTGTATGTATTTAACACACCAAAAACGTGTGAAAGGATAATTATTGATCTAAGTTAATAATTATTAACAGCATTCACATGCAGACTAATGGAAGATGGTAATTCTCAAGTCTCAAAAACTTCTGCTCAGAGACACAATTTCAAAACTTAAAACTTAAAACCCAAGACAGACCCACCTTGACCATCCATGGTTAAAACCTTCAATTGTCTTTTCTATTAAACAACAGCTTTTGAATTAAAGAACCCATGAGACCACATTTTATTCCAAGTATTAGTATTATACTGTCTGTGTTTCATTTCACGCTATCACTCTTATGCCTTTGAATTAAATTCTCCCACTCCCATCTACCTTCTATCACTCTGATCCTCAATTCTCCATCTTTCTCAAACAGGCAAAAACAATCACATAAACACACACAAAGCCATTACCCAAATCTCAAATAGCAACACCACCAAATTCAGTTCCTTTTTGCAATGGTTTCCAATGGGGATGAAGAATCAAGTGCCCATATACCTGAAAACACAAAAAATTCATCCTTTTTCAGGTACAATTCACCACTTGTTCAAGTTATCCTCATTGGCTTTGTCTGTTTTTGCTGCCCTGGCATGTTGAATGCCCTCTCAGGAATGGGTGGTGGGGGCCAATTGGATCACACTGCTTCCAACAACTCCCTCACTGCACTCTACACCATTTTTGCCATATTTGGGATCCTTGGTGGTGGCATCTACAACGTCCTAGGACCCCATTTCACACTTTTCGCAGGTTGTTCCACCTTTGTCCTCTACACAAGTTCCTTCCTCTACTACAACCATTACCACCACCAAGCCTTTGCAATTGTGACTGGTGCTCTTCTTGGTGTAGGAGCAGGATTACTTTGGGCTGCACAAGGTGCAATCATGACATGTTACCCTCCATCCAATAGAAAAGGTACTTACATTTCAATTTTCTGGAGCATCTTCAACATGGGTGGTGTCATTGGTGGTTTAATTCCTTTCATATTGAACTATCATCGTAGTGAGGCTGCTTCTGTCAATGATGGAACCTACATAGGCTTCATGTGTTTTATGTCAGTGGGGACCCTTTTGTCATTGGTGATCTTGCCAGCTAGCAAGGTTGTTCGTGATGATGGTAGTAAATGCACCAACATTTTGTACTCAAATGTGTCCACTGAGTGCTTGGAGATTCTTAAGTTGTTCTTCAATTGGAAAATGCTTCTTTTGGTTCCTGCTGCTTGGTCTAGCAATTTCTTCTACCCTTATCAATTCAATAATGTCAATGGGGTGCTTTTCAACTTGAGAACCCGGGGATTGAATAGTGTGTGCTATTGGGGTGCTCAGATGCTTGGCTCGGTTGGGATTGGATACATAATGGATTTTAGTTTTAAAAGTAGAAGGGTGAGAGGGTTGGTGGGAATTGGAGTGGTTGCTATTATTGGGTCTGTAATTTGGGGTGGTGCACTTGCTAATCAGCTTAGTTATTCCTCAAATGATTTGCCTGAGAAGTTGGATTTTAAGTATTCAGGGTCTCATTTTGCTGGACCCTTTGTCTTGTACTTCTGTTTTGGGTTGCTAGATGCCATCTTCCAAAGCATGGTCTACTGGGTTATTGGAGCCTTGGCTGATGACTCTGAGATTCTTAGCAGGTAAATTGATGTGTGAATAATATGTATAAGCTCAATCAATCAAAAGCTTAGGATGTATTAAAATAAGAATAATATCTACATTTAAGTTATTGTAGTATTATTTTAAGCTTTTGATTGGTTGTTCGTTAATTCTTCCTTTCATAAACAACACTTGAGGCGCAACTCTTAGGTAATCTTAGCGTTACTTTTCAATCAAAATTAGAATTTCATCTTGATAAAAGAAGTCTGCATTTAATATTGTCACGAGTTACTGAAATAAAATTTTATTTTAATTAAAAAAATACTTAAGGTATGTAATGTTTTGTTTGTACATTGTTTTTGAGCCTTTGGTCAATGAACAGAGGAAGTTAATGAGATTTGTTGATAGTGCTTGGAAAAAGGAAATCAACTATTGTTTTCACTTACATAGGTACACTGGGTTCTATAAAGGAATACAAAGTGCAGGAGCTGCAGTTGCTTGGCAAGTTGATGAACACAAGGTGTCTTTCATGTCCCAGTTGATTGTGAATTGGGTGCTCACTTCAATTAGCTATCCATTACTGTTTGTTTTGGTCATATTGGCTGTGAAAGAGGATATTAATAGTGTTACTTAATAAAAATATACTGCTTCTTTTCTTTCACTTGTTACCATTGTTGAGTTTGAGTAGGACAAGGTCAACGATGACATGTAAAATTAATAAAAAAAAAATGAAATTTCCATTTGAATGTGTTCATGGAAATGGAACTCATTTATATAATTCTCATCCCACATGAGGATTTGTGTTTGCTTTTATACGAAAATAAAATAGAGATTAATAATGGTTAGACGTTACTTTCAGCTTTGTTGAACAACTTCAATCTAATATTTGGTGTTGGGATTTAAGAGGTTTTGTTGGGGGAGATGAACTTTTCATTGTTGAGTAGGAGGAGGAAATCAAAAGAGATGCTAACTACACGTTCTTTTTTAACTCTAGGTAAAAGTTTGTGTTGGTTATTTCAATGGAGTTGGATTAGATTATCGTGTGAGCCCATGTGAGGTTATCTCTCTCTTAAATCTTCTTCTTGTAAATTGATATTTTTTAATAAAATATTTTGATTTAAAAAAAATAATCAGTTATAAGAGATATATGTTTAAGAATGTATTTAGAATATTGTTTCATTCTTCTTGTCTATAAAATCTTGAAGCTCTAGAGGTTTTAATAGAAGTATACTACAGATATTTGTTTTCTCACATTGATATTATCTGCTGATCTGTTTTCTCGTTATAAAAGGAGTTCTGATATATATATATATATATGATACGTCATATTTAATTTATTTTTAAGTTCACTCCTAATTTTTATAAATAAAAAGTTGTATATTAATTTATATACTCGAATTTATTTTTAGTTTTGCTGTTATTATTTATGAGTTCTTTTTCTTCCTTGATAAATCGCTCTTAAATTTTAAAAGTTTAAACAGTCATTTATGTAATTTAGTTATATAATTTAATCTTTAGAGATAAAAAAAAAATATGTATCATTTTTATATAAAAAATTATTTATAATCTTGTTTTTAACGTTATGGTAATATTTTTAAATTAATGTCAAGTGACATTTTTTTATTATTTTTAATTTATTATAGTTTAAATAGTTATATAGACGAAATTTTTTAGATAAAACTTTAATTTATATAACTTTTTTTATATCTATTCAACATATTCTTATTCTAATAAGAATTTGAACAATTTTTTTTTCTAAAATTCTAATGTTTTATTCATTTTTTTCTATTTTTAAATTTTTTATACTTTATAATTGTTGTTTAATTAAAATACACATGTCTAAATATAAATATAAAGATATTCATTAAATATGAAATATATACTAAAATTATTGTAAATATTTTCCTTAAATACAAATATAGATATGGATATTTTAGTACCTGTCGACATTTCTGTTTATTCATTTTGAAAGTTAATAATAATATGGTTCAAATAAATTTTTTCTTAACTAACTTCTAACTACCACATGCTCCACAGCACATCATTTCATTTTTTTTTTCCGTCAAATAATTTTGATTTTTTTACTGTATATAATTATGAATTTACAGAATTATATAGAACATGATTATGTTGGCCAGATCATTTTCACTGGTCCAAACATATAACACAATTTCATTTTTCAAAATTTCCACAAATTAGGTGTAAATTCATTTTCGCCAATTAAAAAAGAAAAAGAAAAGAACAGACCCATTCTCCTCCTCCAACGGCATCGAAGATTCTTTCTTTCCTTCTTTGCCTTTTTTTTCTCACCAACACACACAAAAAATCCAATTTCGTCGATTAGGGTTCAATCGAACTCCGATTTCTAAACCCTCCTATTATCCATTTTCCAAATCCCAAAACTTTCCCCAACTGGGTTCTCAAATTCGCCACAGCGAGCCCTCGTAGCTCGCGCATCCTTCAACTGACGATGGCAAAATTCTCCGCAACGATTCTTCCTCGATTCCTCGCCGTTGCAATCGTCGTCGCCGTCCTATGCATCCTTTTCCCTGCCGCAACAGCCGAACCGGAAGAACCCTCCGTCCTCCGGTTGCCGTCTCAAGAGCAGAACGTGTGCGCCAAAACGACGCCGTCGTCGTGCCCCGCGAAGTGCTTCCGCGCCGATCCTGTGTGCGGCGCCGACGGCGTAACGTACTGGTGCGGTTGCGCCGAAGCGGCGTGCGCTGGCGTGGAAGTTGCGAAATTAGGGTTCTGTGAAGTGGGAAATGGGGGATCGGCGTCGATTCCTGGCCAGGCTCTTCTTTTGGTTCACATTGTGTGGCTCATCGTGTTAGGGTTCTCTGTGTTGTTCGGTCTTTTTTAGATTCATGAGGTTTCGGTATCTACGAGCTTGTGATTTGGTTTTTACGTTTTCTTCTCTGTTGCAGAGAAATTTGAGGTTGTTGATTTTATTTTCTTTGTAAATTGATCACACGGCTATTCTTATATTGTTTCTATGATAATTATTGTTGTTATTGTTAAACTTTGGATTTCAATAGATTTCAGATTATATATTTATTTATAAAAAATTCTTTAAATGCGGTGCTTCAATTTTAGGGTCTCCTTAATTTGTTCTTTAGATGTGGAGATTACTGGTTTGGTTAATTTCTTATCTATTTTCTTGCCCCAAGGGAAATTTCCAAATGTATGTCAATTGAATGTAATTGGTTGATCTTGATCCGAATATGTTAAACCAAATTTTATTTGTTAAATTTGGATTCCGTTTATATGCATGTTCCCTTTGTGATAAAATTATGAGTTGTTTCTTTGATCCTTTTAGTGTGTATACTCGGCATTCCCTAAGCTATTGGGTATTATATATCTTATCTGGTATTTCCAGGTTTTGAAATTTTATACGCAATCTGTGTCTTGGATGATGATATAATGGTGAAACTCCATCCTATATTTCCGGCTATGTTTCATGCTTAGTATGGCCTTTTTATGTTGAAAATACATGGACAAGAATGTAAACGGAAATTACCTTGTTACAATTACTGGATTTTAGTAATTTGGTTAGGCAGAATGATTGTGAAACGTTGTTGGGGGCATTTTGAATACGAGAATTTGTCAGTGTAAAATGTCTCTTATATGTTCTAATGTTTTGTTTATTTTTATAAAAATTATATGATTTTTTAATTTAAATGTAAAAATTTACTCTTCTCTATCTCACTTGTAAATTCCCACTTTCAAACATGTCTTAATTTATTCAAACCTAGTGTGAAAATATTATTTGCAGAGACTGAGTGAGTGTGTCCGTTTCATTAATATTGTTTAATGTACTTCAGACGATATTACTGCAAAACGAAGCCTGCATGTGTGTGACTGCTTAATTTGATTAGTTTAATCATTTTGTATTTGTACACTATTTAAATCAAACCTGACACACCAGAAGATCCTTCTCCAAACTCAATTTTCATGGCAACATCCATAGACCATAAAAATAAAGATTAATTCATCGGGCACAGTTCTGTAACATCCAATATCATCCTCATTTTTTGGGAAGCAAAAGTAAAAATCCAGAATCTTCATGATAATTTGGGTTTTCGTCATTTGTGGTAGTAGTTCGAGTACTAAGTCACTTACATGACCTCACCAGAGGAATCATTTCCTATTTCTGCTACCTTCTTGGCTGTTACTGAAGGCTTGCAATTGCATGTATTGCACTCCAATCTCAATTGACAGAATTAACTAAGCTAAAACATATTTGCCAACTACGAGCAATATATTTTCAGCCTTCAAAATGTTCCTTCCATCTTGTTGGAATACTATCTGATCCATCTAAGCATGACACTGCATTTTGCATTCTTACCCTTTTTTTTTTCTGAGTCAACACATTTTACACTTACGAAAGCTAGAAATCTCTGAAATGCTATGGACAATTGATTTAGAAGATATGCAACATACAACAACTGTTGAGATCCTATGTCGTCGACTAACAGGTATGACCAAATAAGAGTTTGTTAAGGTTAAGACAATCCTCACCTTCCAAGCTAACTTTTGGAATTATGTTAGGCCTTGGCCAAAATTTTAAGACCATGGATTGAACCCATCAAATATACAATTTATTGTTTGTTCAAGTTGTAATATATGCTATGCAATATTCAATTGAAGACCATTATCTTTGGGTCAGCGACTCAAGGGCTTTATCTGTTGCTCTTGCTTTCGTAAGGATGGCTTATGCTCTCACCTGACAAAAATTTGTTATTTGCGCAAGGGTTTGGAAATATCAATTTGATAATGACAATATACGAATGGAATATCAATAGTTTCCATATGAAGCATGGCATCAAAACTGGGGAGAAGGAGGGGAGAGGGAGTTATAGTACAATACAAGTCCTACTCAAGCTAAACTTTACTTCAACCCATAGATCATCATCCTCTCATCTTGCAGAATATATATGAATATTTTGATGAAGAATATAAAATATCAGAGTAAGGTCAATAAAGGATTGGCACATCATGCTCGAGCTAACATCAAACCCTTATTAAAGAATAACTGAAGTTATATATTTGGAACTGACACAGTTACTCTCAATACGTAATTAACCTTGAGATCTGTTCATTTGAGCGATTTTTTTAGCTTCTGATGATAAGATTACAGCACTCTTTTTCTTTTTATCAGCAAAGTTTGTGTTGGCCTGTCTTTCTCCTGTTCAACACTAGATGTTGTCATCCTCAAACACCTTAAGAATTGAAATACCAACTTGATTACCAAATAATTTGAGCTCTCTTTTTCCTTTCTATTTCAGAAGAAACTAGACAAGATATGTCAAACAAACAATGGACACTGTCCCCGCCATAAGAACTCAGTCTCACCTTTAAGGAATGTCTTATTTTTGAGCCTTGAGAGTTTCGTGCAATTTTGGTTCAAATTAAATGATATCGCTCTCGTATACAGAATATAGGGATAAAATTAAGTTTGATTAAGATGTATGTTTAATTTAATCTCAGCCACAAATTTATATTAGACCATATATTTTTCATTGAAAAGTGTAAATAGTAATTTTTCAATGCCAAAAACAAACATGCGCTTAACTTTTTTATCACTCTCCTGCGAAGGAAAGTGACAAGTTTGACTCTTCACGTTATAATCTGGCCAATTTTCTCCACTGAGTAATACTAACAATAATATAAAAAGAAAATTGACTTGCTGTCCCTTTTAAACTTTATCAACCATTTTTTCTCTTACCCTATAACAGGAAGACTCAAAATAGAGTAACGAATTCTAGCTTCTAAAGAAGAGAATCCCCCAAACTAATACAATACAACAATTATCTAGCATCTTCACAATCACACGGCACTATGAATATTTGCAGCATTTGGAAGACCAATCCATTATTGCAGGCCTAAGAATGATCCCTTTTCATAGTTATTCATATACCACCCACATAAATCATTCAGTAACACCACTCAAAAAGTACAAGAGTATGCATTGCAAAGTCCAGTGTTGGCACTGTTGTAGGGGAACAAGGCAATAGGGCGAGTTCTTGGCAACTCTGGAATAGGCTTCTCCATGTTAAGAAGAAACCCCACCACTTGCTCCATGGAGGGTCTCCCTTTGTTCTCATTGAGAGTGCAAAGCAATCCAATTTCCAGAACACGAACTGCCTGCTCCAAGTTGATCAATGACCCCATTCTTCTGTCCACCAACTTCACTTTCTCATTAGTCTCATGCAAGTTCCAAGCAAAATCCAACAAGTTCCTCTCTTCTGGACTGGCCTCCTCTTTCTCCTCTCTTATCCTTCCAGCTATCACTTCCAAAACAAGGACACCAAACTCAAACACATCTGCACCTTGGCACACTGCTGACTCAAACTGTTTTGATTCTGCCCCCATTAGCACAAACCCAAAATCACCCAAAACAGCTCTAAAATTGACATCTAGAAACACACTGCTGCATTTCAAGTTCTTGTGGGCTAGTTGCCTACTGTGGATGAAGCTCAAGCCATCAGCTACATCTTTAATAACTTTGAGTCGCCGTGTCCATGGAAGAACACCAGCACCAAATAGCCATTTATCTAGGCTTCCATTGGGGACAAACTCATAGACCACCATGATCTCATGGTTGTCTTGACACCACCCTCTTATAGGAAGCAAATTCGGGTGGCGAGCATGACTAATGGCTTTGATTTCCTTCAACAAACGCTTCTTATCCGAGCCATGTGTATTAAGAAACTGAGCTGAGAATCTTTTCACAGCTACCTGGCTGCCATTAGAAAGCTTTCCTCTGTAGTACACTCCTCTAGAATCACTACCAAGCAACTCTATATCACTAAATGACCGAGTTGAAGATGAAAGCTGAGAAAACGCGAAGCGACGTGGCTTGTTTGGAGGCCTTGGCCTGTGAATTTCCGTGTCCACTGATGAGCTTAACTTGGAAACGTTTCTTCTGTGCTTACTGATGAAGTAAAAACCAAGGAAAATAGCCAGAGCCAATGCCACAGCAGCCACAAAAATCAAAAAGCTGTGTGGTGGTTCATTCTTAGTGGACTTCTTGGTTGTTGTTGCTGCTGCTGCTGTTGTACTATTCTCAAGTAAGATCTTACCCTCACAGGTTTCAGATGAAGGGAAGCGAAGAAAGGCTTGGCTTGTGGAAGTGAAGTTCCAAGAGAGTATGCTGTGGATTTGCGTGTGATTTCCTGTGGAAGCTGAGAACCCCACAAACATGTATTCATTTAGATAAGGAGAAAGGTCCACAGATTCTGAGAAGATAGGCTTAGAAGGATAAACCTCTTGGTTGGCTAGTCCAAGATGAATGTCCATTTTCCTTTGAGGACCATCATAGGTGATCCAAGCACGGTGAACAAAACCATCCTTAAGGGACACACCAACATCAGAAACATTAATGATTTTGGTAGATACTATGGTACCTAAGTTGATGCCAACATGGTTGTCATTTGGATCTCCAAACTCTGGGTTTTTTCTTGTGTCAAACTCCACTGCCACTGCCTTGTAATCATTCTCACAAGCATCATTAAGCATGCCAAGCCATGGCCCTGGCCTACCCACAGTGAATTCATCAGGGACTATGATGAAAGTGAGGCCACTACCTCCATTAGCACTTTGCTCAGAGGTGGTGGAATTGTTCAACTGAAAAGAAAAAGTGGTTTGAAAGGAAGCTGGGGTCTTTGTAGTTGGATCTAGCAAGCGAATTGGAAAGGAATAGATACCTCTACCTGCTTGGTGTCTTATATCAGTCTCTTGTGATTCATTGGGAATTTGAAGTGCACCCTTTTCATTTGAGAACTTGGCACTGCCTAGGAGCTTCACATCATGGACAATTCTTGGGTTGTTGATGAAGCTGAAATCAAGGAAGTGGAAGTGCTTGGTTACATTAATTGGAACATCACTAGCTGAATGAACTACAAATGGGTATGGCCCTATGGAAGCTAGAAGATTAAACAAGCAAAATATGAGGAAGATGTTGCACATGGAAGCCATTGCAATTGCATGCCACAGAATAAAGGAAATTCCTATCATTCAGCTGGATGATATGATTGATGCTAGTTCTAATAATGTTGGTAATGCCTAAGATAAAGCTAGGAAGGTTAGAATTTGGTGCTGCGGTTAATAAACCAAACTGGAAGAAAGCAAATCTGACTAGGAAATATATTGGACTCAGCTTAGAAGACAAAAAAGTACTTGATGTATTAAAATTTTTCTGATAAAAATTATGTGATGGAGGAAAATGATGTGGGGTAATCAACTTATGTTTGATTAATTTCATTCATACTAGCTAAAAAAAAAAAAAAAAATTGTAACAAAATAGATAACCTGCTATGTGGGGTATGATATGACAGTAGATATATATATATATATATATCATATATGAGGTGCAAAATTGGTTCCACAGAAATCATGGTCCACTCACGTTTTTATTTATTCATTTTATTTTATTTTTGCTTTGGCGTAAGTGTAATAGTGAAGGCAACCATATCATTTCTGCAACTCATGAAAATGAGAGGAAACCATAGTGTTTTAGATATAAATAAATCAATAATGATCAAGCAAGCAAGTTATAACACGTGTCAAAGGAATATTCTTCAGTGTGTTATCTATACAATAATCGAGAAATATAATTGTGGATCAAACAATCAGAGTGGCGTCTGGTATTATTTTATGGTATTTAATTAGTGTTAGTGATAATAAATTATAATTGATTGATGAGGAAAAGAGAAGATGAGATAGAGATTTCAATTATAGAACCTTATCAAATCTGATTCTACGATCTGTTTTTCATTTCTAGGTACAAAATTTTTAAATCATTTTAATTTTCTTTTGATATAGTAAGATATGTGCAATGTAACAAGAAACTTGATTTCTTTTTCTGTCTTTACATTTCTTGTTCCTATTGACGTTTACAGTTTTGTGAAACGTGCTTTCTATAATTATACAATGGTGATGATGTCACTTGCAAATGTAATCACATTTCACTTTTCATTTTACATTGAATATGGAAATAATTAACCAGTTACATCAGTTAATCAATCTTCATATTATTTTAACACTTGGTTTAGTTAAGTTAATCGCCAAATCGAAAGTCTGGTTTTATACTTTTATTCAAATATTAAAAATAATAAATTCTAAAATATCTTTATGATAATTATACTTTCTGTTCTTTATTTTTTAAATAAAAAAACTTATATGTACTCACTATATAATGCAAGAAAAATATGGTTAATCCACTCATGATGAAAACTATTAAGTCCCCACCAAGTAACACATTCTTGGCTTCAGTCACTTCGTTATGACATTGTGTGTAATTCATCAAATCAAAGGTGGACCACATTTCAACATTCGTTACATAAATAAATGAAATTGTGACCATATAACTAAAACTAATTATAAGATAAAAAGAAATTAAGTCAAATATTAAAATATTTGTTTATATGCATACATGATCATTTTTTATTTATTTTTATATAAAAAAGAATTTAATATTTAATCACTTTTATTATCGTCATTATTTTATTATTTTTGGTAATTATAATCTTATGAAAATAGATCTTGAATCTTCTAAAGTATGTGACGTAATTTATAAAAAGAAAAAAGAAAAAATGAAATAATAATTATAGATTTAAAATTAACGATTAAAAGTTTTAACGATTATAATTTGTTTTATATGTATATGTGCCTTGTAATAATTTTTTAAAAAAATTTCAATCAACGGTTATTATTAATTTTTAATAATTTCTTAAAATACACACCTCATTTATTGTAAAGTGTAAAGTCTAAATTAAACGTAAAAATTATATAAAAAATTAAAAGATATGATAGAATTTTTATATAGAGCACCTATTTTTAATATTGTTTAATGCATTATGATTTTTTAAAAATATCGTAACAATAATTGCTAAATATGGAAGAGTAGATTAACTGTAATGATACATACAATAATCCAAATTACAAATATTTTTATATAACATCTAAATTAAATATTAGCAAAGCACATAAGTACTAAAAATATTTTTGAACAAAAACCATGTTTAAAAGCTTAGATTTTCTTATATTATTTTTTATCGTAACTTCTCTAAATTGTTGTAATATGTACCTCTTCTCTTTATCGAATATTCATTCAATATTTTTAAAATTTATTTTTTCTAAAATGAAACTTTTACTGAAGTGTAGAGTTATTTGATTTTTTCAATCAACAATTGTAATTTAACTTATATTTCATCTTTAAAATACTCTGTCATAGTATCTTAATTAGTACATTATTTATTTATCTATTTATTTGCAAATAATAAAAAAATACACTTTTTAAATAGTACACACATATATATATATATAGCCTATTTGTTAGATTGTATGTTTCACTCCATATGACGTTTGTTCCTAGGGTAAGACACATAAAGCATTCGGTTTAGGTCCTTTAAAAATAATTTAGAAAGATAGTTATTAGCTAATAAATAACATTAGTCTGTTAAGAATAACCAAATATATTTAAAAATAAAATCCTCATGCTAGCTTCTATTAATTTTTCTGTTATGAAAGGCCTTATTTATATCTCCTTTCTTTCTGCTGATTAATGTCATTTTTCCCTTCATATTATTTGGATTAATATTTCATCTTTTAATTCTTTATTATTGAGTAATAAAATGTTAAACAAAATTAATTATGATAATTTCATAAGTAATTTTGCATCTTAAAAAGTTTGAAAAATAAATTTTAAATAAAATTGTAAAAAATATAAAAATTTTATTTGCTTTAAAAGGTCTATTAAATTTTGCTTTATGTTTAAATAACATTGGGTTCGATTCGTCCTGGTAAAATTGATGTATGCTTGGTACAGTTCAACACAGCTTATAGCCAATTCAATGATTAATGGATTGGTGTATAACTTGTTGGTTTAAATGTCTTTCAATTTAGTTCCCAGTTGAATTGGTTTGACCAGCTAGTCTAGTTTGATTTTCTCAACAATTATTTTAGTTAAAGGAAATTTGTATTATTAAATGATGTTTTTTTTTTTATTTCTTTATAGGAAAGTGTAACATTTAAAGTTTTTAACATATTTTTATTGCGATTTCTAATAAGTTGTTTTCATTTATTATTTTTTAGCCAAATTTTCCTAAATGCTCATTAGTGAGACACTTTTTTCCCTCTCTTTTTCAGTTCTATTGTGAGAATCAGGCAAATACAGGTTCAGGGGCTGTTTAAGTTAATAGATTTTGATTTTATATTTCAGATATACATAATGAGTTATATTTTATAACTATTAAACAGGGAAATATAAATGACCTATGTACACAAAAGAATAAGATAGATTTGGTATTGTGAGCTAATTTAGTATAGTTATTCAAAGGATCATGCACCTAATTTTTTTGTCCTTTAACATTACAAAAAGATGTAATTGCTCATACACATGTAAGATAAAATATACAGAGATATTGACAATTGCTTTAGTAGTGCAATTGGCTAGGGGAACTTAATAGAAGATCCTTATAATTCTGGTTTAAACATCACATAATTAGCATAACAGAATGGCAGCACAGCAGATGAATCTTTTCTATTTTTTCATTTTTGTTATTCCTTTTAGTGAACATTCTAGAACAACAATGAGCTGTCAATAGATAGTACAGAATATGCCTTTATCCTCAAAAGTTTTTAGGTCACACCAATTCTTTTATACAAACTATATATATAATGTAATCATTGAGAATCATTGTAGACAGAAATTTATGCAAATTGTCTTTTCTTCTTTTATCTGTTATGGTATCAAGAGCCCTCTAAAGGTTCAAGCTTTTCTAGCTTACCTCTCTCATGGCCGATTCATGCTCCTCTGGAAATGAGGAGGAAGACATTTCACCTCCTCCTCCCTTTGTTGATCCTAGCCAAAATCCTTCAAGCCCCTTCTACATACACCCAAGTGAGAGCCCTTCATCTGTTGTGGTTTCTCCACCTCTCTCTGCCAACAATTTCCAGTCATGGTCCCGTTCCTTTCGAATGGCCCTTATTTCTAAAAACAAGATGGGCTTTCTCAATGGCGCCATCCCCATCCCAGAAACCACCGATCCCTTATACCCTTCTTGGGAAAGATGTAACACCTTGTTAATGTCATGGATTCTCAATTCCCTTTCTCCTTCAATCGCTCAAAGTGTTGTGTTTTTTGAGCGAGCCACTGATGTCTGGATTGACCTTCGCAAACGTTTTTCTCAAGGAGATTTGCTTCGTGTCGCTGAGTTACAGGAAGAAATCTATTCTCTCAAACAAGGTGCGCTCTCCGTCACCGACTACTACACCTCTCTGAAATCACTCTGGGAAGAGTTGGACAACTATCGAACTCTAACCCCTTGTTCTTGCTCTGCTCGCACCTACCATTCACAGGATTTCATCATCCGTTTTCTGAAAGGACTTGACGATCGTTTTGCCATGGTTCGCTCACAAATCTTATTACTTGACCCTCTTCCCTCTGCTAATCGTGTTTTCTCCATGATAATCTAACATGAGCGCCCACAGCATAACCCATCTTCTTCTTCCATGGAAACCAATCCCTTCATCAATGCTGTCTCTGGTAAAGGCCGAGGCCATCCACAGCAAGGGGGGACAAAACAAACTCGCAAATGTGAATTATGTGGCCGGCTCGGACACACTATTGATTCGTGCTTCCAGAAAAACAACATCACTCCGACAAAGTGCATCCATTGCGATCGTGTTGGACATAGCAGCGATGTATGTTATACCAAGTTTCACTATCCTCCTGGACATCCCAAATATCCAGGAAAGCCACGCGCTTTCAACAACAAGAACACCTTTGGTGGCGGCAGCACAACTGCCGGAGGCACCGTGAACAACGTTACTGCCTCTTCCTCTTCAGATGTTGCGTCGGCCCTAGAAGGAGAAAGGAAAGACACTTCAACTCTGGGCCAAGGTCTTCACATTACTATGGCCCAATTCCAACAACTAATGAGTCTTCTGAACAAAGCCTCCAGATCTGGTGGGGGAAACTCAGAAATCCCTTCAAGGGCCAATCTCTCTTACTCAAGCCCAAACCAATCTCACAACTCTGGTTTTGGCAGTAGGTTTATCTTTTCCATTAACACCACACACACTTAATAATTTTTCACACACCACACCATGGATAATTGATTTCGGAGCCACTAATCACATAACAACTTCATTAGATCATTTTTTCAAATATTCTGAAATCAAGCCATTAAACATCAATTTACCAAATGAGTCTACTGTTCAGGCCCATATATCCGGAAGCATACAATTCTCTCTGGATTTCAT